TTGAACTTCTTGTGTACCACTACGTCGCCTAAAGCAATCTCGATCTGCTGCTAAGTTAAACCAGCGGACAGCATGTTTACATATGTCGTGGTTAAGCACGGGAGATGGGATTTTTTCCTCACAGATTCTGCAATCACAAAAGCAAATTTAAATGTTAATCATCATCCACCACCACAATTTTCTATTGTAACAGGACACAATCTCCACTAATATCATCTTTCTCTAAGCAGAAAATAATTTGTCAACTAAAGCGCTCAATACTATTTCTTCTTTTATAAGACCAGCTTTAGAAGTAGCAATACAAGTTTATATTGACACTATGTAGCGTTTATAAGAAGTGAAACGCTGTAAACAACACCTCAGTGTGTGAATAGCAAAGGACTGAACTGGCTGGTGGCAAGAGCTGTCGTAGTGGAGCACATATTGTTGACCCAGAAAAATGTGTGAACATTTTAAAATGAGTACTTACGCAGAAGCAGTGTTTTTGATGACATCTGGTTGAAAGACTTCTTCCCATTGACACTCCATTTCCTGGGGAGTTGCATCCAGCTTGCTGGTTAAATAATTGACCTCGGCTTCTAGTTGCTCCATCAGTTTTTTTAGAAGCTCCAGCAAGTCCAAAATCTGGGCTTCTGTGGCTGTTGGGAAGAATATTAGAAAATACACATCAGTCAGTTTTATCAGTTTGGAAAACATTATGTAGCAGATACAAACTCTATATTTTATATAATAAAAAGAAATTAAATAATGATTTATTCAAACTGTAACGGAACGAAATGATGTTTTTTCCCCTCCTCTGCACAGGACTAGTCTGCATGAGATATGGTCTCAAGGTCTCATGCATTCGCTCTAACCTGCTTCTTTTCAGCTCAACAGAAGAATGAAGAATGAACTCCTTTCTTTTAATTAATCAAAGAACTCTATTTTTAATAAAGCTAATCCAACCAAGTGTTAGTCAACAAATAAGATGTGACCGACCTGTGAAATCTAAATATTAATTACTTTATTACAATCCTATAGAATATAAAGGTACTATGACTTTAAATGTTCCAACAGGACTCATTTCACGTAGCGTTAAAAGACATGACACATTCCTTTCACTGATCCAATCAGAATCTGACAGATTCGACGGAGGCGTGGTTTTGATGTCTTCGTCTTCGTCTTCCTCCGCTTATCCGGGTCCGGGTCGCGGGGGCAGCATCCCAATTAGGGAGCTCCAGGCCGTCCTCTCCCCGGCCTTGTCCACCAGCTCCTCCGGCAGGACCCCAAGGCGTTCCCGGACCAGATTGGAGATGTAACCTCTCCAACGTGTCCTGGGTCGACCCGGGGGCCTTCTGCCGGCAGGACATGCCCGAAACACCTCCCCGGGGAGGCGTCCAGGAGGCATCCTGACCAGATGCCCAAACCACCTCAACTGGCTCCTTTCGATCCGGAGGAGCAGCGGTTCTACTCCGAGTCCCTCCCGAATGTCCGAGCTCCTCACCCTATCTCTAAGGCTGAGCCCGGCCACCCTACGGAGGAAACTCATTTCGGCCGCTTGTATCCGCGATCTCGTTCTTTCGGTCATTACCCAAAGCTCATGACCATAGGTGAGGATTGGGACGTAGATCGACCGGTAAATCGAGAGCCTGGCTTTCTGGCTCAGCTCCCTCTTCCCCACGACAGATCGGCTCAGCGTCCGCATCACTGCAGATGCCGAACCAATCCGCCTGTCGATCTCCCGATCCCTCCTACCCTCACTCGTGAACAAGACCCCGAGATACTTAAACTCCTCCACTTGAGGTAGGACCTCTCCCCCGACCCGGAGGTGGCAAGCCACCCTTTTCCGGTGGTTTTGATGGTGTTTGGTAACTCTGTCAACTTTTCATTCGACCATAAACCATAATATCCGAAGTATAAAACTATGCCCACATCATCTCTAACACCAGTTCAAAGCGTTCCAGAGAAGTTGTCGGAGTGGCCAATCCGTAACTTTCCTCTTTAACCGAAAGAACCAACGACAAGCTGGAAAATTCTTTTTTGTTCAAACTGCTGCAACAGTTCCTTTCAAAATAAAAGCTGAACCATCAAGACCCAGGCTCGGGTCTCAGCAAATGCCAACAAATTGTCATGACCCAGGAGTATCTCAAGACGGGTGGTCGGTTGCCGTGGCTTCTTCTACATGCTCCGGCTCCATAAGGTCAAGCTGGACCTTTACACCTCCTGATCTAGACGGGGACTTCCGCTCAGGGTATGTAGACCGGCAAATGGCATTGAATGTATTTATGAACCTCCTAACCAAAGCTTAACGCGAAGACATCACCTTCAGTTTCCATCAGAACTAATCGCTTCTTCGGATTAGCTGGTTCTGATCAACATCACACGTCATCCATTCACCGTCTCATCCACTTTAGTTACACCATACATGTAGTGCTTAAAGTAAGTCTAGTTGAATTTGTTAGTAATAAAATCCTTAACTTTTAAACTTGACACTCTCTCTTCTGTTGTCTCTGAGTGAATACGAAGCGGTTATCTAATCCCTGCATTAAAAAGTTCCAATCTTCTGGTTTAATTAACCTTACAGATCCGTAAGGTGGATTTCATATTTCCTATGGAATCCTTCGCCTTATGGCTTATTAAATAACATGTAATTTAAATCATTTCAAAACCAACAACAAAAATTACCCACCAGAGCAGGGAAGGGTGCCCATAGTCAAACCTTCTCCCTCGCCAGGTAAGTGTGTGCACCTGGCTTGCAGACAAGGTTTGTTGTTGGCATGGTGATGGTTCAACAGCAGGAGATGGTGGTGGCGGGACAGCAGGAGCTGGTGGCTGTACTGATGTTTTGGATTGGCTTCTGGATTTCTTTCTTGGATGTTCGTCTTCACTGTCATCAGAATCTCCCCCAAAAATGACTATAATTTGGACAGGGAAATAACACTCAGTTGTCGTGGTACTCTCATTTCCATAATCTTTAAGTAGTTATTTAAGTCAGTTTTTATACTAGGTAACCTGTATTGTCTACTCGGACATAGAAACTTGGATAAATGTTCCATACACGATATATGCATGCATGTTTCAATTACAATTCACAGGAAAACATGGAAAGATGCTTACATCGCCTTTGGCTTCCTCTTGGGTCGCATGTCCTCTTCCTCTTCTTCTGTCTGCAGGTTGGAAGTGTGGCATGACGTGACTTATTTAGGTGTTGTCTTGCCTCGAAGTACTGATCTAAAATTTGGTAAAAAATAATATTTTCAGATAATTGAAAGACTGAAGTCATACTTATTATATATAAAAATAATTATATATATATATATATATATATATATATATATATATATATATATATATATATATATATATATATATATATATATATATATATATATATAAAGTAGATTACCACATGATTTAAGAATTCGGACATCATACGTTTCCCATTCAGGTCCCGGCTCCTTTGCCCGGTTCACGCTTGCATCACTTTTATAATTCGGCCAACAGGTCACGCCATCACTGTACCAGTTCTCGGGCACCACTGCTACAGTTTTGTTGACGGTGAACTCAACTAGGTGGAACACCCTAATTAAAAAGGAGAAACACAAAACATTATGTTTACAAATATGAAATTTTTACTGAAGATGCACTTGATCAAATACTTTCTGTAACTAGCAGGTAATGTTGGGTGTCATCTATGGATGTTTAAATAATTTCATTTTAAAAGAGATAAGTTCTGTATTCCAGTAGTTTTATAGAATGTTTATTTACATCTTCTACTTCTCATACACACATGCACGCATGCACACATACTTACAGTCAGATGTTATCCAATTTCAAACATAGGAGCATTTCTAAATATGTCACTGTCAGTCTCTGACCCTCACGGCTAACATCATTCTAACAAAACCACTATATTACAAGGGGAAATGTGCATCAATTACTTTTTAAAAAAACCTTCAAAAAGGTTCTGCAATATATGGCTATTGACAGCCAAACAATAAACAGTTGCTATGAAAAATCAACTAATTTCAAATAAAACAGTTGTGTTCAGGAGCAACACATCTACTTTTGTGTGTAGTTGCACCACTAAAATGTGTGAAACGGGGATGACCACAAACCCATTCTTATGTGGAAGAACACATTTTTGCGCAAGCTCAGAAACTTTTTTTATTTTATTTTATTTTTTTACCGTGTCCTGTCTGGCTGTGAAGCAAGCAGAATTGATGTCTGAATGCTGGTGACAAGCCTTACAGATTTACTCTCAGGTGGAGCATCAAAGCGTTTGCTTTTAATGTCACGTCTGATACTTAAAACTTTATTGTTATTGTTGTTGAATGCTTTGTAATTCCGACCAGACACGGAGACAGAGGTGAAAGAGAAAGGAAAAGAAAAGGTGGGGAGAGAGGAGGAGAAGGGAGGGGTTCCACAAAAATAAACAATGAACAAGAGTCTGCTTCTAGACCTGCAGAAAAAGACAAAAAAAGCAAAAGGACAAAAAAATGGGACACAACAACAATACAACAAGATCTAGCTATCACTGCGTCAACTTGATGAAAAAAAAATATAATCAACATTGTTTAACTGAACAATCACACGATAATAAATCACAGTGCATTAAGTGCCCACCATAGTCTTAAGACCTGTGTTGAACGTGCCCAAGCCCATACTTTTGAGAGCACCATGTGCGCACCTGTGTGTGTACACGCGCTTGTTTATGTAAGGTTTCTCTATAGGAGCGTCCAACAGAGAGTGTGAGGGACCACAGATCCGCCCCCCAAAGATGCGTAGGAGACGGGAGGAGCTCCAAGTCCCAGAGATCCAGGCGCTGCCCCAGAGCACAGGAACCCCAAGGAGACTGCAACCAGAAAGGCCCCCGCCCCCCTCGAGAGGCACAGAGGATCGCCCCGGGGGGCCACAACCAGCAGCCGGCAGAGTCCTGGGAGACATCAGCGGCAAGCCCGCAGGCCCGCCCGCAGCCTCCCACCCCCTAGCCGGCCGAGCCCGGGACCCAGCGACCCGGGACCCAGACCCCACAAGGCAGCCACCAGGATCTATCAGGCAGATGCCAAAATCTTAAACCCCCAGACCCGGTTGCCACTAACACTCAGGCAGACCAAGGCACAAGGGAGGGAGAGGAGATGCGAAGGGAGGGCTAAGTGTTTTTCTCCCCAGAAGAAGCTACAACGATGTTCTGCTGAGCTGTGGTGACCTCATGGAGGGAGCCATCGTCTAGCACACTGTTGCTAACCACTAAAACTTTCTCCCTCTCCTGATAATAACTTTTTGCTTTCCTTGACGTTGGATGTGCTACTACTAGTTTATCCGTTTAATTATAGATCAAATAGGATAAATACAATAAAGTTTATCTCTCACCAAATAGAATATTTACTAAGACATCACAATATAACTATAGACACATTACTTGTCTTTGTGTGTGTGTGCGTGTGTGTGTGTGTGCGTGTGCGTGTGTGCGCGTGTGTGCGTGCGTGCTCTGTCTTCTCGATCCCCAGTGACTCGTGGAGGATGGCTGCTTATACTGAGCCAGGATTCTCTGGAGTTTCTTCCTGTTAAAAGGGAGTTTTCCTCTCCACTGTCGCTTTATGCTTGCTTAGTATGAGGATTGCTGTAAAGTCACTGACACTAGTCAATGACTTGATGCAATTTGCTGGGTTCCTTATATAGGAAACATTATTTCTGATTGGCTTAATGAACTGACCTGAATTGGAATGTTTATTATGTGAAGTGCCTTGAGACGACTCTTGTCGTGATTTGGCGCTATATAAATAAACTTGAATTGAATTGAATTGAAAGTTAACAATAATGACAGTATGCAGAAATATCTGTTTACCAGCTGCTCCTGCAGTGAATGATGACCCTTTATAGTCCATGAAGTTCTGCAGGGCTTTAGAAATGAAATGGCTGTTATGGCCTCACATTTCCTCGAACACTGGTTAATGTTCACGAGATCCAATTGCACTGTATTTAAATAAAGAACATCATGACGTCCTGCTCATGAGACATGTTTGTCTAACAAACCATTTATATAGATGACTTTCCACAAAAGGATGGCCAACTACCTTTGGGATCTGCTGGAAGTGGAGTTCCGCTCAGAAAAAGTGTAGTTTCTAGAAATTATAATTTAACCATAAATATAGCTGTGCATACATTACATTAAACATTCTTAACTGTTTATTTTAAATTACACACCCATTACGGCCTTTCCAGATGAATCCAGTGTGATATCTGCTGATGATATTTTATGAATGTCGGCCAGGGTCTTCTCATTCAACATATTGTGATGATGAATGATAGCGCGCATGAGAAAGATATGGCTCCCTGGAGACATCATATTTAGAAAGTAGTTATTCTTCCTCATTTTGGAGAACAACTGCTCTGCTACTTGAGAATTCACCCAACCGTGCAGTTCGAGTAACAGTGAAATTTTGCTCAAGCAGTCTTTTACTTCTCTGGTGTTGGCCTCGTGGAAAGTGTCATACAGAGCATAGTGTGCAGCTGAACCTGTAGAGGGGTGTGCATTGCTGTCTGCATGCTGCTTTTTAACCTTCAACCATGGCAGGTTTACTTTCAGATCACCTTTCTGGGCAGACTGAAGGTTTTCTGGTGTGGCATCAGCAAGTCTGCCTTCATTTGGCATAAAGGGGATTTTTAAAGGTTCACGCAGGTTTGTGTGCGTGGCCAAACCTCTTGCAAAATCAAATATGACTGCATTAGGAAAGTGCTTAAATGATAGCAACATATCACAATAGTCCCTCGTACTTTCTGCCCTCACATTGAGCGTGATAGAATTCATGATTCCACAGGGGCACATTATAACTGCCCAGCCACCTTAACAAGAAACAAAGAAAGGGACGTTAGAGATTACACACACACACACACACACACACACACACACACACACACACACACACACACACACAATCTCAGATAAGTTTTTGTGTTTGGATAAGCTTACCAGATGCACCCCACACTTTTGAAAAGACCTTGTCAAAAGCACTGCGACTTTTCATCTGCTCTTTCAACCTGATGACAAGATTCATTTTGGAACCCGTGGACTCAAGGCCACATTGTTTGTCCAGGTTTCACACTGCATCAACCTGTGAAAACATGGGCAAATACTTGACCTGACACAGAAACTGTAATGCAAAGATGCTAACATAAATTAGATTTTAAAATATGGGTTGTTTTCAGGTGTTTTTGTTGTGGTCTGTTAGCCCAGGCATCACCGCTAATCTCACCTTCAAGTTGATAATTTCATTAATCAATCTGTCCTCAGATCATCAACATATATATCGACATATGGGATCAACTGACAACACCCGGTCGAACTATCTACAATAGGGTGACCAGGTGTCCCAGTTTACCCGGGACAGTCCCGATTTTGAGCCATTTGTCCTGTGTCCCCAAAGATTTTTACAAACCAGTTATGTTGTCCCGATTTCACCCAGCCTTGGTCCCAAGTGTCCCGATTTTGAACTAATTGCTCATAGTTCACAGAACTAATTGTCACTGGGTTGTTTGTATGTCAATCAGAAAGTTGTCATAGTGACATTAGCTCAACTTTGTCACATGTCTGTGTAACCTAATGCTCATTGGTTGATGACAACGCCGTTGACGCAAGACGGCTCCTAAGTCCTGCGTTAAGACGATTCACCAAGTCACTCGTTGTTCAGCATGCCTAAAAGATGGTCAAGACTAACAAAAGAGCTACTGGAACCACACAGCTTTCTCAGGAAGGTGCCAGGTGCAGTCTGCTGCAGACTGAACTGCACTGTGCACTATGTGCGCTGCACATCCTACACCAACCAGACTGTTAGGGGTGGCCTGATCAAGTTTATGAAAAACATTGTTTTGTCCTCGTCTTGCTTTTCCTCCTAAATTTAAATTGGTGTTGTCTGCACAAAAGCCGACCGCTTTATCCACCAAACCGAATGCAGATAGGCACCTGTAAACCTCATCACACAGCAGGGTTGAGGTCTCACCTGTTAGCGATGTAAAGTCGAGTATCTTCACTCTGACCCCCTCGGTTATTTTGAAGTAGCGCACAACAACAGGAACAAGCTTCACTGCCTTGTGGTTTGATGTGTCAACTGTGGCAGAGACCAGAGTAGTATCCATAGTGTCTTCTTTTAGCAAATCTATAGCATGCGGGGCAATTACACTTGTCACCACTGCCTCAGCTTTGGTCCGAGCACTCGTAAAATGCTGGTCATAACATTTTCGAAGTAGTCCAGCAGTACAGTCCATTGAACGAAAATTGTGATTGTGCTTAACAAGGTGGTAGGCAAATGTTGCTTCCTGAGCAGCGTGGTTAAGGTCTTTGTCTCCAGCAGCAGTAGCACTAAAAAACATGCTAACCGAACTTCCCGCCTGTTACCACCGCTTATGTTTGCTAGTTTTAACATGGTTCTGCACGTCCCTGTTTCCACCATGAGCAACGGAGAATTCACACTTACATAAGACGCAAAACGCAGCATATTCATTTCCTGGCACCTTCCTGAGAAAGCTGTGTGGTTCCAGTAGCTCTTTTGTTAGTCTTGACCGTCTTTTAGGCATGCTGAACAACGAGTGACTTGGTGAATCGTTTTTACGCAGGACTTAGGAGCCGTCTTGCGTCAACGGGGTTGTCATCAACCAATGAGCATTAGGTTACACAGACATGTGACATAAAGTTGAGCTAATGTGACATTGAGAACTTTGTTGTCAAGGTTTTTGGATATTTTCACATCTACACTGTCCGAACTGAGGAGCTGAAAGACTTCTGTTCATTTGTTGATGTTGAACATGCCACTCTCCTTGGGACCAGCAGAACCCATTAGCTCTCACTGGGACCTGCAGTTGAGGGTTCTGAAGCTTTGTCCAGCACTTCAGTCCTCAGGAAAAAGCACCAAATTTAATCATCAAGTTCCTAGAAAACCAAGTGTGTGAGGCCTGGTTGTGGTTTACACACATTACAACCAACTGTCACTGTTCAATGACACCATCAAAAAGATGGAGAAAGACAAGAGCACAGCTGTCCACGCTGCACAGCACCTGTGTGATCTACAGGAGAAACTTTTGGAGAGGAAGGCCGCCCTCTTCATGGGATTAAAGGTGAGTTTAAACATGTTCAAATTAAAAGTAATGTAAAAACAAGGCTCTTATATTAATGCTTCTTGAATTATTATTGGTGTTTTTTTTTCAGGTGAAGAGCATTCTGGCTACCCAAGAGCGCCCTCAAGTGGAGGTGTTTAAGCAAAGCGTCCACACCTTCTATGAAGGTTGCATCTCATATCTGCAGGAGTGGAGCTCATCATTTACTGACATGAAGTGCTTCTCTTGGACCCTGCTCGAAGATCCACCAGGTTGGGATGTAGTTGAGAGCTCCCTGAGGTGTGTCTCCTCAAAGCTGCCAAACATTCACATCAATGAAACGGAGCTCTTTGACGAAGTTACTTCTGTCAAAACTTACACATCTGACAAGACTGGACTGTGGGACCGAGACATTAAACCAGCAGATGAGCGCTGGGCTGAAATCTTTACACATTTTAAGCATCAGCATGTCCCATTTAAAAATGTAGCCGTCATCTGCCAGTTTGCCATGTGCCTACCTGGCACGAACGCCTCTGTGGAACGCATTTTTTCTCTCATGAACAACACTTGGACCAATGAGAGAAATCGTTTGGGACTGGACACTCTGAAGGCACTGCTCATTACTCGGGTGAACTTTGATGACTGCTCTGAGTTTCATGCCAGACTTGTTGACAACCACAGTCTGCTTAAAAAGATTCACTCAAACATGAAATACTCTTAAAGAGTTACTCTGACATTAAAGGGTTCATTTAGTGCAATATTTTTGTTTCTAAAAAACTTGAAGTCAGTGAAATACTTTTTTTGTTCACAAAAGGGCTACATTTAATATTGCCCAAACAAATGTGCTTAAAAAATTCTGTATTGTTTTGGAAAATGATTGCACTAAAAATATTAGAAAAACTGTCCTTATTCTGAATATAGATCAAATGTTTCTGTTCTTCCACATTCTACAATCAAAAGCTGTTATTAAGGTCAGTTAAATTCTTTGTTTATCTTTTCACAAAAGGGCTACATTTAATATTGCCCAATGTGTTTCACAAATACAGTATTATTTTGAAAAAGAAAATAACAAAACATTGCACTAAAAAAAAGAATGTCCTTATTTTTAATAGGATGTTCAAATGTTGTTGCGTTTTGTACAATAAAAAGCAGTTATAAGTCACCAGCAAGGATTTGTCAGTCTTTAATTTTGTGTAAAACTTTGGTGTCCCACTTTTCAGTTTTTTAAATCTGGTCACCCTAGGCTGGGATCAACTGACGACACCCAGTCGAACTAGCTACAAGCTAACCTGAAGCTAACCCAAAGCTAACGCAGAGGTGGGAGCTAAGCTAACGGAGGTAGCAACCTAGCTACAACCGGAGTTAACTGTGCACAACACCAGAGCTTCTGAGTCAGAGCTATGCCGGGCTGACCGCTGGGTAAAACCGGGTGGAACACAGAGGTCTCCGAGACCTCCACAAGCCGGCAGCCGCACAGCAGACAAGTGCCGCTGCGATCTGAGATGCGCAGAGCTGCTGCTGGGGAGAACCGGGTAGAAAGGTTTCCATCCCAGAGCTCCACAAGCCAGCAGCCCGCGCAGCAGACAGAAGCCGCGATCAGACAGAGATGCGCCGAGCTGTGGGGAGGGGAGAAGCGGGTGGAAAACATCGGTCTCCCGAGAGCTCCACAAGCTGATAGTCGGAACCCAGCTCCACCAACATGTTACATTTGAACCCATTTTCTAAAGTGCAGCATTATGTTAAATGCACTGGGTTTTACCCTATTACATTTATTTCATGGTTAAACAGTACATGTTAACATCTAAGCTCAGCTCGGCAGTGACCTAAAATACATAAATGTAATTTTACTTACTGAAAAAAATGAAGTGGAGACTCATTGGACGCTCTATTATTGCAATTAATGCCACAGCAAGTAATTTTGTGCAACAATTGCACAAAAATATCCAAAAAAGAATACACAAACGCTACAACTAATGGTCTAAGTTGAGAGACTGAAACTGACGGAACAGTTATCAGGCGAGACCGAGGCTCAGACTGAGGCCTTTCCCTGGAGCTAGCTCTGCGGTCACGTGGGTCTGATGCTCATTAATTACTGTAAATCCTCTAATATTGGCCTGTATTCAATTGACGGCCGGGTATCACATTTTGGCCAGTGTCGGAGTCGGCGGAGGTGAATAATGACCGGTTTTTTATAGTGGCCGGGTGGAATGTGGTAACAAGCAAGTACCACAGGGTGGCGGTTGTGTCATCCGTCTCACTTTTGATTTGCCAGTGATAGACCGCGAGGGTAACTTTAACCATGGCAGGTGCGGAGACGAAGGGGAGGCGAAAATTTGATATCAAGTTCAAAGAGAACGTGCTGATTATGCTGCAGAACACTCTGGGGAGCAATATGAACTAGTCACTAGATGACTTCACCGCTCTATAGTGACTTGTTATGCCTGTCATTGACTAGTCGCTGTCACGTGATAATGACCGGCAAGATGCAGTCCTCGGAAAAGAAGACTGATGTCAGCAGGTGACAAGCTCCTGCGCGTCGGGAGGCAACGCGCTGTGCCAGAGCGTCGGTTCTGACACCCTCCGTAAAACGGACATTTAACCAAACTGTGACCTTTACCCTCTTGCAATTTAACCTTCCCCTCACCCCCATCCTAACCTTAACCAGCTTGCGCATGCAAAGCTCTGATTGTTGACGCGCTCCAGACATCTGCGTCCTGAGCACGGCCACAGTAACATTATCAAATTAGGTGTCGCCACCTCAAAAACTAATTTAACACGTGATCGTTCATGTCTGCTCATTTCTTTTGTTTTCTGTCTTTTATTCTTTCATTTGCGCCTGATGCTTTTCGCTGCTGTGGATCGAGGCGCATCACCTTGTCCTCCAGTGACGCACCGGTGCGGCCGGCGAGCAGCGCGCACCCCGTTGTTTTTGCGGTCGGTAGATCTTTTAGAACTGCAGTTCAAAGATAACTCATAAGGTGAATATATATGAAGGCAGGTAGCAGTTTTTCTTTAGGATTGAGAGGAGATGCAGGAAGATAACAGATACAGGACAGAAAAATAGTCAAATAAAAACAAGTTAGTTTTTGTACCTGGTGGTTGCAACAAACAGACACCATTGAAGGTAATCAGAAGTGAGGAACAGAAAATGAAATAATTATTTTAATGTTTAGAGCAGCAGGAACTCTGAGAGGCTGCAGGCGCATCAGTGAGTTTGCGGCCGCTGCGCGGGGGGTGGGGGGTATGGCTGAAGCAGAAACTACCGTTGTTAAAAGAAATGTGTTTAACTTTGAAAATGTGGGCGCAATTTTAATTGTCAAAAACTCCAGCGAACCATTAGTTCATTTTGCTCAAATAGAAATTGAGGCCTGCCTCTAATTCTGGTCCTCCGTCCAATAAAGGCCTGGAGCTTGATGAGCTTGAGTCAAATACAGGCCCGGGCCTGTATTAGAGGATTTACAGTGTACAGAATTTTAGGCTTTTAATACACTTAAACAGAAGAGTGAAAAAAAAAAAAATCACCCCCCTCAGAGTTGTCATGAGTGTAAACTAGATGATTTAAACCAAAAACCTGTCATGGTCGGAGGCAGTTTCTTGACCCACGACATGCAGAATCACACACGGAAACCAGGAAGGTAAGTAAAAGGGTTTATTTTTGGAAATAATGAGCAACGGAGGTTCGGGACTCGACGAGATGCAGGACTGGCAGCAGGGCTCCAGGGAGAGGTTTCTAAGGAGGGAGACAGAGTGAATAACTAATGGAAACAGACGGAAACTTAACTGGAGACTGGTCTTACTGTTTCTTGGCAGCACTAAATGCACCGGGAGGGTTGTCGGATCCGGGTGAGCTGAGGATATCCAAGAAGGGTGGTTGGTTTGTCCAGAGGTGTAGGAGCTGAGATGGATGTGGTAGGTGAGCGGCTGAGAGCGGGCGGTCAGAGGATGGAGCAGTGTGTCAGGTAGGTTGTGATCCGGGTTTGTTCTGGAGAGGCTGAGGACGTTAAGAGGAACCTGGGAAAAAAGCAGGAGAGGGCATAAAGGGGTTTTCAGACGACAGGTTATCACGAGTACAAATGCAAAAATGTCAAGGTCTGGTTAGTGGCTAGAGCTACCCAAACTGCGTAAATCATCTGGCATGGTGAAGCGTCACACTGCTCCTTAAATCCCCTGGCCTTGATGAGGAGATCAGCTTCAGCTGGGAGCTCTCAGACACGCCCACCTGTGGAAACAAGCTCAGAGTAGAAAAACCAGGTTACAGGCAGACAGCTCACCACGGACCATGACAAAAACCAAACTGTACACATGTTTATTTCTGCTGTGAAATGGTATTTTTAACATGGGAGTCAATGAGGATTTGCTATTTTCTGACACCAGCCCCTAGTGGATGAGGGTGGAACTGCAATTTATTTCACTTCCGCATTGGCCTCACTTTCAGAATAGAATTGTGGGGGCTTGGTTTCGACTTCCTCCACCACCATACTAATACTGCTGTCACCACCTGGTGCAGGTGCATGAGACAATGCATCAGCCAGTACAATAAACTTGCCTGGCATGCCTGGCAAACTTGCCTAGCATGTATATCAGTTCAAACGCTGCAGCATCACTATCATACATTGTATTCTTGGTGACATGTCATTGAGATTCTACTTCCTATTTGTGATGAGAGGTTTGTGATCCGTTTCTGCTATGAATGTTGGTAAACCAAACATCTAGCCATGGAACTTCCTGCATCCAAAGACCAAGCCTAAAGTTGCTTTTTCTATTTGAGCGTAGCGTTTCTCAGTCAGATCTGGATGCATATGCCACCGGCTGCCACTTATTTCATTCTTTTGCAACAGTACTGCTCCCAAGCCATTGTTTGAAGCGTCCGTAGAATCCAGAGAGGGATGGAGAAACATCAGGAGACACATGAGGGAAGACGCAGACGCAGACCATGACAGCAGGATAATGCACCATGTCATAAAGCTCAAATCATTTCACATTGGCTTCTTGAACATGACAAGATCGGTCAGATCTGGGATACGGCCAGAAGACCCGTGAGCCTGATCTGGACTCCAGGGAGAATGCTGAACATCTTCAGAACCAAAATCAGTTCAGTTTGCTTACTTTAGATGAATATTTCATTTCTAAGCTTGTAGCCCTCAGCTGACGAGTTGTTAGCTGACCATTAGCCCCATCATACCGTCCCAATAAAATTCACTAATCTATAGATAAAACAATGTGCTGCCAGTTGAACCGCTGTGTGTTTATATTGAAATAACTCTAGAACAAATTTAATCGATAGATCAGCAGAATAATTCCTCCTGACTGGGATGCTGCAGTAGCTCGCTAGCTTGTGTTTGTAGTAATCCAGGATGGTTCTGAGGTTCTACCGGTCTCTGGAGGATCTATTGTTTAAATATGTGGCTCTTCTTTTAGATCTTATCTGTGTGAGTGTGTCGTGGCTTTCCAAATTATTTTTCCCCTTGCTAACACAGTTAGCTGTGTTGCTGCAGTCATGCTAACGGGACTCGTCTGGAGTGCAGATGGACCGGTAGCGGTTCCAGATAGATTTAGGTTATTATTTTAGGTCAAACCGTTAGTTACAATGTGTGTAGGACTCCGACATAGGGTTCAGACTTTTGGCTGCAACTGTGAACACAATTTTCTGTAATTATTGAATATGAAGTTGATTAAAATACAGCTAAACACGACGTACTAGCGGCATGAGCTGCCCTGTAAGACATCTTTTTAGTGACGTATGACAAACAGCTCTTCACTGTTTAGAGGAATTTAGATTTTTATGATGATTTATGACAAAATTCCTTAAAATGAATAACTGAGCCTAGTTTATCTTTATGTAGATGGTAACGTGTAGTGAAACAGCGTTAGTCTCAGTCGGCATAAGCAGCAGGGCCCTGCAGGGAATCGAACCCCGTCTCATTACTGAGAGTTCCGTTACCAGAGCCTTTTGCTTTGGGCGACGCGAGACGGTAAAGCAAAACCTGCATCAACACAGCATTTAATGTTGGAACATAAATTCTGTCTTGAAGCAGGAAAAAAGAAACCGTCAGACTAAAAAATTATTTCTAATTAAATTCATTTTAGTATTTTATAAACGTTTTACAGATTTAGAGCCTCCTTTGACTTTTATGCTTTTCGTTAACTTCTCGTTCTTTTACGATGTTTATCCGTTCTTTAGTCGCGGTCAAACGCATCGTAATTTTGTTCTGCGGTGAATCTTAAAGTTATGTTGAATGTAAATAATCGGAGTCTTTATTGCTTTAATTTAACCGCACAGTAACTTGTTCAAATATTCAAGTTCATTTGAATCATTTACATGTTTAGACTATATTTTATTAGCCTTTAATATTTTAGTATTTATTGTTTAACTTTTGTAAAGAGCTATTTTTAAACGCGTGCACATTTAAACACTAAAACCTTTGTTTGCTCCGTCTGTGTCAGAGCTCTGCTGTTCAGCTCCTTCCTGGTTCCTGCAGGACCACAAAGCCCAGAGAAGCTCAGTCCAGCAGGACGTGAGGACACAAACAGACACGGAGAGCTCCTCCTAAACCTGGAATCAAACGCTTCTACAGATTATTTAGAACAGTTTCTTATGACAGAACAGTTAGTGAAACAGAAAGGACATGATGAAGATGATGTTATCGTCCTCGTCTTTCATACGGATCAAAGATCACCATCAGCTTACGCTCATGTCACCAAGTAAACGTCCCATTCCTCACTAAGACCTGCTCTATCTGCTCTACCAGATTATCAGAAGCATCACTGTAGTTGTAGTTTAGCCTCCATCTTCCTGCCCTCCTTGGTCTCTTGTTTATCTTCTACCACCTCTCACCATCCATCTCAGGTGGGATCTTGTTTGCTCCGATGGCCTCTTGTGTTCCAGGCTTTCATCTTTTAGTGAACGTTAGAATATCATATACTAATATATATGTATGTGCGTGTGTGTGTGTGTGTGTGTGTGTGTGTGTGTGTGTGTGTGTGTGTGTGTGTGTGTGTGTGTGTGACCCTAAACCAGACTGCCTGCTCCATCAGATGAAAAGGAAATCCTCTCAGGACCCAAATAAAATAGAAGATTTAGCAACCAGACACAGAAGCCCAGGTGAAACCGTCCACATCAGCATCTCCAGTTCTACCAGCTCTAAAAACACACTTCTTAAATAATAAAACACTAAACTCAGCCAACGGATGAAGACGTCCTGGTGCCAGATGCTACCTAAGACATCACCAGTTCAGCTGACTTGATAAAACACTTGGTGACTAAAACAAACATCTGGTGACCTGGTAAAAAACAGTCCTGGTGCAACAAGCTACCTGAGACAAACATTTCCAGTCAACCAGTTCAAGAAAGAAAGAAAGAAATGATATTCAGTGGCGCTGCACTGGAAAAAAAAAATCTCTAGTCCGAGTCGGAGTCGTCCCATCTTGGTCTCTTCAGTGGGATGTACGGGAAGCGCTCTCCAGTCCTCTTCTGGCTGGATCCAAGGGCCGAGGTAGAAGGAGTGGGTTCTTCTACATCCTGGACCTCTTCAGCGCTCCCGTGGGCAGGCCTGGGATCTTCTGGAAGCTCTTCCGGCGGGGCCGGAGGAGCTACCGCCAGCGAGAAGTCTTCTAGTGGTGGAAGCTGCTGGACTTCATCTCTATCCAGAACTGAGCTACCATAACCAGAGTACACACTAGAAGCCATAAAACCTTTTAAAGCTGACCACAGACCCTCAATAGCACGCTTTGCCTCTACTGGAGGAGCCTGACCATGACCCACAAACACCACATCATCATCAGGAATGTGAAGGGCTGGGTACCTACCTTCATCTTCATCGAGAATCCGGATGACCTCAGGGGCCCCTGCAGTCGCGGGACGCTCCACGATGAAGATGCCTGTGAGGACAAAACAAGACACATTAAATCCACTTGTGTCATAAAACAGTTATGAAAAAGCTACAATGACTTGTTTACAATACAAGAGATGTGTGTCTGCATCTGCATGTGTGCACAAGACACACTTTACTAATCTGGTTGTTTTGGGGGTTTAACAGGTTAAAACCGAGTTCTGCTTTTACTGAAAAAGTTTCCATTTTTAATTTGTGATTGTTTATTATTTATGTTTCATGTTTATAGCTGATGCATTTCTAAAAAGATGTAATGTTTTACAGCTTGTAGACGCAACACTGCTCAAATAAAGTTGTTTTAAAATGGGCTCTATAAAAATAAACAGAAGACTCATTAAACTGGTGAAAAGTGTTTAAAATATATTCAAACGGCAGAAATGCATTTATAAACCTGAGAACCAACTCAGAGAACACATCAAACTTTCTACTTGGATAAAACAGATGAAGTCCTTAAAGATCAAAGGTCTCTAGTTCACTCAGATTTATGGAAACAACTCATGTTCACCGATGCTAACAGGCTGAAGCTAAAGCTAGCTGTACGTTCTACGTCATGACGTTTCATACCTGGTTCATCCGTTGCTATGGTCACGAAAACAACATGTTTTTGTTTGAATACAAAACTTCTGATGTATTCAAACTGGAGATTACAAAAACACAACGGCACTAAAAGTCCTCACTGCGATTACATAATTAGCTAAGTGACCGTTCAAAAACAGCTGCAGTAATAGCTTCTGTCCTCCAGAGGGCTGAGAGACCCCTCGGGTATGAACAGTCTATGGGTGCACCTGCTGCAAAGAGACAGGTTAGGAATCTGTTGCACGCATGTGCGTGTATACGTCATAGAATTAGAACGTTGCTCATCTATAAAAGCTCATGGAATTTTAAAAGTCTTTCATTCGAACTTGCGCTAGAGCAGCACTTGGTCGAGAGCGCTAGAGCAGCACTTGGTCGAGAGCGCTAGAGCAGCACTTGGTCGAGAGCGCTAGAGCAGCACTTGGTCGAGAGCGCTAGAGCAGCACTTGGTCGAGAGAGCCTCTGGAGATTTGCTTCAATAGTAGTCCTTGGACGAGCTTGGAGAGCCTCTGCAGAGCAGAAATCGCTGAAGCAGTTTGTGGCTAGCTGAAGAAGACCGAGAACCAACCTACCAGGGAGATGTCCTTCCGGGAGGAGCACGGTAAGCTAACATCAATTAAATTCTCCATCTGAATCATTTCATGTTTCCTAAAGGACAAACTACTGAAACATTATTGTAATGTTAAATTCGTGTATTTGGAAGACCGAATGTGTGTTTTAAAATCGCATTTGGTGTTTTACTCGTGAACAAGACCCCGAGATACTTGAACTCCTCCACTTGAGGCAGGACCTCTCCACCGACCTGGAGTTGACAAACGCTCTTTTCCGATCGAGAACCATGGTCTCAGACTTGGAGGTGAGGATCCTCATCCCAGCCTCTTCGCACTCGGCTGCGAACCTCCCCAGCAAGAGCGTCCGAAATGAGTTTTCTCCGCGGGGTGGCTGGGTCAGCCTTAGGGATAGGGTGCGGAGCTCGGACATTCGGTCGAGACTCGGAATAGAGCCGCTGCTCCTCCATATCGAGGAGTCAGTTGAGGTGGTTTGGGCATCTTGTTAGAATGCCTCCTGGACGCCTCCCTGGTGAGGAGTTGGGCATGTCCTGCTGGCAGGAGCCCCCCTGGACGACCCAGGACACGTTGGAGAAAGTACATATCCGAACTGGCCCAGGAACGCCTTGGGGTCCTGCCAGAGGAGCTGGTGGAGGTGGCCGGAGAGAGGACGGTGTGGAACTAGTTGGGATGCTGCCCTCGCGACCCGGACACGGCCGGCGGAAGACGACATTTGGTGTTTTATGGAGGTGAAACATGTTTTCTGTGGACAAGTGAGGCTCAAATTCCCCTGGAACAGTTGAACACATCAAATGTTTTTACTAGTTTTGTTGTGGCATGTCGGTTTCTTTTGTATTATTGATATAAAAGAGGATGGACAGCAGCAAGGTGAGAGTGAGCGCGAGGAGCGCCTGTTGGTTTTTGTCAGCTGGGCAAGCAAAATAAAAGCTGAATATGTGGTTCTTTTAGCGGGATAGAGACAAAAGGTTTCTCACATTAGCACCGACCTGTGACTCAACCTCATCACACAGCCTCAGCATCTTGAGGGTCCCAGCAGGTCGGTGGGATGACTATATCAGACTAGAGAGAACCGTTAGAAGAAAACCACTAATTTGGTTTCAGCAAACCCATTTAGTTCAATTTTACATCGAAAATTTTAAAACTAATAAAATGACATGTACGATTCTAAAAAAGAATGCTTCAAACAAAAACATGTTTTCGTGACCATAGCAACGGACGAACCAGGTATGAAACGTCATGACGTAGAACATGCTAGAACGTACAGCTAGCTTTAGCTTCAGCCTGTTAGCATCGGTGAACATGAGTTGTTTCCATAAATCTGAGTGAACTAGAGACCTTTGATCTTTAAGGACTTCATCTGTTTTATCCAAGTAGAAAGTTTGACGTGTTCTCTGAGTTGGTTCTCAGGTTTATAAATGCATTTCTGCCGTTTGAATATATTTTAAACACTTTTCACCAGTTTAACGAGTCTTCTGTTTATTTTTATAGAGCCCATTTTAAAACAACTTTATTTGAGCAGTGTTGCGTCTACAAGCTGTAAAACATTACATCTTTTTAGAAATGCATCAGCTATAAACATGAAACATAAATAATAAACAATCACATGAATTAAAAATGGAAACTTTTTCAGTAAAAGCAGAACTCGGTTTTAACCTGTTAAACCCCAAAAACAACCAGATTAGTAAAGTGTGTCTTGTGCACACATGCAGATGCAGACACACATCTCTTGTATTGTAAACAAGTCATTGTAGCTTTTTCATAACTGTTTTATGACACAAGTGGATTTAATGTGTCTTGTTTTGTCCTCACAGGCATCTTCATCGTGGAGCGTCCCGCGACTGCAGGGGCCCCTGAGGTCATCCGGATTCTCGATGAAGATGAAGGTAGATACCCAGCCCTTCAAATTCCTGATGATGATGTGGTGTTTGTGGGTCATGGTCAGGCTCCTCCAGTAGAGGCAGAGCGTGCTATTGAGGGTCTGAGAAGGGATGACAAGTTGGAGTTAGAGCGTGCTATTGAGGGTCTGAGAAGGGCTGAGGAGTTGGAGTTAGAGCGTGCTATTGAGGGTCTGAGAAGGGATGAGGAGTTGGAGTTAGAGCGTGCTATTGAGGGTCTGAGTAGTGATGATGATGTGGTGTTTGTGGGTCATGGTCAGGCTCCTCCAGTAGAGGCAGAGTTTGCTTTTGAGGGTCTGAGTAGGGATGAGGAGTTGGAGGCAAAGCGTGCTATTGAGAGTCTGAGTAGGGATGAGGAGTTGGAGGCAAAGCGTGCTATTGAGGGTCTGTGGTCAGCTTTAAAAGGTTTTATGGCTTCTAGTGTGGACTCTGGTTATGGTAGCTCAGTTCTGGATAGAGATGAAGTCCAGCAGCTTCCACCACTAGAAGACTTCTCGCTGGCGGTAGCTCCTCCGGCCCCGCCGGAAGAGCTTCCAGAAGATCCCAGGCCTGCCCACGGGAGCGCTGAAGAGGTCCAGGATGTAGAAGAACCCACTCCTTCTACCTCGGTCCTTGGATCCAGCCAGAAGAGGACTGGAGAGCGCTTCCCGTACATCCCACTGAAGAGACCAAGATGGGACGACTCCGACTCGGACTAGAGATTTTTTTTTTCCAGTGCAGCGCCACTGAATATAATTTCTTTCTTTCTTTCTTGAACTGGTTGACTGGAAATGTTTGTCTCAGGTAGCTTGTTGCACCAGGACTGTTTTTTACCAGGTCACCAGATGTTTGTTTTAGTCACCAAGTGTTTTATCAAGTCAGCTGAACTGGTGATGTCTTAGGTAGCATCTGGCACCAGGACGTCTTCATCCGTTGGCTGAGTTTAGTGTTTTATTATTTAAGAAGTGTGTTTTTAGAGCTGGTAGAACTGGAGATGCTGATGTGGACGGTTTCACCTGGGCTTCTGTGTCTGGTTGCTAAATCTTCTATTTTATTTGGGTCCTGAGAGGATTTCCTTTTCATCTGATGGAGCAGGCAGTCTGGTTTAGGGTCACACACACACACACACACACACACACACACACACACACACACACACACACACACACACACACACACACGCACATACATATATATTAGTATATGATATTCTAACGTTCACTAAAAGATGAAAGCCTGGAACACAAGAGGCCATCGGAGCAAACAAGATCCCACCTGAGATGGATGGTGAGAGGTGGTAGAAGATAAACAAGAGACCAAGGAGGGCAGGAAGATGGAGGCTAAACTACAACTACAGTGATGCTTCTGATAATCTGGTAGAGCAGATAGAGCAGGTCTTAGTGAGGAATGGGACGTTTACTTGGTGACATGAGCGTAAGCTGATGGTGATCTTTGATCCGTATGAAAGACGAGGACGATAACATCATCTTCATCATGTCCTTTCTGTTTCACTAACTGTTCTGTCATAAGAAACTGTTCTAAATAATCTGTAGAAGCGTTTGATTCCAGGTTTAGGAGGAGCTCTCCGTGTCTGTTTGTGTCCTCACGTCCTGCTGGACTGAGCTTCTCTGGGCTTTGTGGTCCTGCAGGAACCAGGAAGGAGCTGAACAGCAGAGCTCTGACACAGACGGAGCAAACAAAGGTTTTAGTGTTTAAATGTGCACGCGTTTAAAAATAGCTCTTTACAAAAGTTAAACAATAAATACTAAAATATTAAAGGCTAATAAAATATAGTCTAAACATGTAAATGATTCAAATTAACTTGAATATTTGAACAAGTTACTGTGCGGTTAAATTAAAGCAATAAAGACTCCGATTATTTACATTCAACATAACTTTAAGATTCACCGCAGAACAAAATTACGATGCGTTTGACCGCGACTAAAGAACGGATAAACATCGTAAAAGAACGAGAAGTTAACGAAAAGCATAAAAGTCAAAGGAGGCTCTAAATCTGTAAAACGTTTATAAAATACTAAAATGAATTTAATTAGAAAAAATTTTTTATTTTGACGGTTTCTTTTTTCCTGCTTCAAGACAGAATTTATGTTCCAACATTAAATGCTGTGTTGATGCAGGTTTTGCTTTACCGTCTCGCGTCGCCCAAAGCAAAAGGCTCTGGTAACGGAACTCTCAGTAATGAGACGGGGTTCGATTCCCTGCAGGGCCCTGCTGCTTATGCCGACTGAGACTAACGCTGTTTCACTACACTTTACCATCTACATAAAGATAAACTAGGCTCAGTTATTCATTTTAAGGAATTTTGTCATAAATTATCATAAAAATCTAAATTCCTCTAAACAGTGAAGAGCTGTTTGTCATACGTCACTAAAAAGATGTCTTACAGGGCAGCTCATGCCGCTAGTACGTCGTGTTTAGCTGTATTTTAATCAACTCCATATTCAATAATTACAGAAAATTGTGTTTACAGTTGCAGCCAAAAGTCTGAACCCTATGTCGGAGTCCTACACACATTTTAAAGCCACGATATGAAATTTTTTCATATTTCAAAATTTTCTTGAGCCAGTATGTGCTAAAGTGACCGTTAACAGCAGTGGTATGAAGTTCCCAGCCTGGAGGGCCGGTATCAAGCACGTTTTAGTTTTAACTCCGTTTCGACACACCTGATTTCAACCAGCAGGTGATTAACTCCTTAGCATTCCAGCGTCCCGCCCGAGGGACAAAACCCCATTGCGCTGGAAATTTACGGGGTTAAGCTTCTGCAGAGCCTGAACTGCTTCACAGGTGATTAAACCACTGAATCAAGCATATTGGAGCAGAGAAACCACTAAAACGTGCTGGATACCGGCCCTCCAGGACCAGAATCGAATACTCCTGTTTTAGAGGGTTAATGAACAGCCACCCAGCACACATCGCACCCCTTTGGCCAGAATGTTCTACTTTCAACTCCAGACTGGCAGTTGGCTCTGTTGGGACTCAAACAAATATTGAGCGGACATACCTGGAGCTGCAGTCTGCTTCCAGCACATTTCCTGCATGTTTTAAATCATGAACGCAGCTGATTTATAATATGTTTATTGCCAGACAGAAGTCCATTTTAAAAGAAACATATAGATAAAAGAAAAAGATACAAGAAAAGAAAGGATACCAATTAACATTAATACCAATAAAAGCCTGTATAAAATCACAGGATATAACTGCAGTGGAGGTAAGGGACAACAAAACTAACTAGTTGAGATAAATCCACCCAAACATTTTAACCAGTGCATTCTCAGCCTAGACATATAACGAGAGCAGCTCACAGTGGGATTTGAGAGTGCAACTATAATACTATTGGAAGACTCTTCCAGCCGTCTCATAAACTTGAACATGAAATTTCTTAGAAGTGCCTTAAATGTGCACACGCTCACAGAAACACACGTTTGACTAGCACTGCCTCCCCTGGGAATTTTGAGGAGGATTCTCGTTGCATCATTGTTTGCCACTTGTAACCTGTGCAAGCTCGACTTTTAATAGAATGACCCCAGATGTGCAGTAGATAGTGGTGTGCAGTATGCTTTAAGTAATGCCACTTTAACAGGTGTGGAACAACAGCTGAATGTCCGTGCAATGGTGTTTGCTTGCACATATAGCTTGCAGCACTGCCTGTAAATATCATCATCGCCGCTCATATCGGCTGTGATAAAGTGTCCAAGATATTTCATCTTTTCACAGACTGCAAGACTGTTGCTGGACAACTTAAACACAGGAAAATTACGCCTTTTATCCTGGGTGGTTCTGTAGATTAGAACAACACTTTTGCTCGAGTTATATTTTAAATCATATTCCATTCCATACCCAGTACTAACATCTAGGAGCTGCTGCTGCTGATTTGTTCAATTTAGTGATGAATCACTCATGTAGACACTGAGGGTGGTTTCCAGGAGCACTACTCGGCCTAAAACAGCTCTGTACAGCGTGGTCTGAGTCAGCCCATCTGAAAGCAGGTTTGTTCCCACGCCAGCTCCATGAAGCCCCTAGCCAATCAGCGGCCAGAATCACGATACCGGCCCAACTCAGCCTTGCCAGGTACCTCAATGGAGCAGGGACTAAAAATAGGGGAGAAAATGGAGGGAAAATACCAAACCGTGCCCTTGGAAACCGTGGTCGGGCTGAACTGCATCGGTCCGAGTTGCCCTGAGTAGTGTTCCTGGAAAAGCACCTTAAGGCTGCAGAACCAGGCATATCGGCTCTACTAACTCCAACAGACCTGACCGGCAATCTGAAGTTGCAAGTGTGGTATTCTGGCCACAGAGCGGTGAGGGTCTGAGTGACATTTCATTCACCATGTAAAGGGTCATTTTGGCACATACTGGCTCAAGAAAATGAGTTCAAAATACGAAAAAGTTGTAAAGTATCACTTTAAGTTATCTTGGTGTCGTGGTCTGGGGTGAGTCCTCCTCTCTCTGCTAAACCTTCTCTGAGCTTCTCCTGCAGGTGGGCGTGTCAAGGAGTGGACCAGCTGCAGCCCATCTGCTCATCAGTTGGCCAGGGACATATAAGCTGCTGGGAGACATCTTTATTCGCTGGATGATTAACTCAACTTTGGTATCTACCGCTCCCGAGCCTGATTACTGAGTAATCCGAATAGATATCGTCCAAGTCGTACTTCTAGCCAGATTGCTAGTTCCTGTGTGTTTTTCCAAGCTTGCCTGATTTTTGTAAGCTGCCTCTTCTCCAGATTTCCACCACCACCTTTCATACCGTGCTGCAACCTACCGGACCAATCCCGCTGTCTCCCAGCCGCTCCCTGGCTGTCCACTCCAAACTGACCTTACCTTACCGGATCCTGCTCCCTATTCTGTGCTCAGCTCCTCCAGCCCTCCAGCGACCTGGAAACCCAGTCTCCTGTGATCCAGCAAGCGTGTGTTCTTCAAAGTACTGAAAATGTCAAAAAGAGCTGGTGAGATTGCTTAAAGGGGTTTTGTGCAAAAATCTTCATTTTCCTGTTTTGTATAGACCACAAAATTGTTCTAACTTTAAAAATATAGTCGCAACACGTCCCCTTTAACATGTGCTTTTGTAGCAGGAAGTCCTTTACAGTTCTCCAATCAGCCCCAAGACAAAATGCACATTGCCGTAAATGAAGCATTAAAAAGGCAAAGCGAGGTTTAATTTATACATTTATTCTGATCACAACTGTACAGGAGTGTATCGTCACAGCAGAAACGCAACCTAAACCTGACCGTGGAACAACAGCCGTCACAACACATCCAGAACTCCAACAGAAATGTACAGGCTCAGATCATTTCAACTCAACATTTAGATTCCTCTTGATCATCATCATAGTTATTATTATTCACATAGAACTATCTGTCTTTCAAATATCTTTGTTTTAAAGAGCATAAAAATACAAGTGGACTTTTCACTAGGATGAAAACTGGTGGCTGATCCACCGTCTTGGCTTATATGAAGGGAAAACACTGAAAACTGGGGGCGTCGGGAGGAGTGAAGCCAACTTATTACAGCTTACCAGATTTTTTTGTTATTTTATTTATTTATATTAGCTCATACAAAGCTTTGCAGTAGTTACAGAAGGTTGCAGATATTTGGGCGTTGACTTTTAAGGTTAAGTCACTTGGACATCACTGACACAAAGAGGCGTTGTCAAAGAAATCATGAAGCTGTTAAAAGGAATAGATAAATACGAAGGCACGGAGATTTGCAGAATAAACACCAAATTTAGAAATAATGGTGATAAAAGAGGAAGACGAGATGGAGGTCAAGTTGATTAAAGGCAATTTTACTAACCAAACACTAGAGGGCGCTTTAGGAGCGCCAGTTTTAAACCTACCGTAAATCCTCTAATACAGGCCCGGAACTGTATTTGACTCAAGCTCATCAAGCTCCAGGCCTTTATTGGAAGGAGGGACAGAATTAGAGGCAGGCCTCAATTTCTATTTGAGCAAAATGAACTAATGGTTCGCTGGAGTTTTTGACAATTAAAATTGCGCCCACATTTTCAAAGTTAAACACATTTCTTTTAACAACGGTAGTTTCTGCTTCAGCCATCTCCCCCCTCCCCCCGCGCAGCGGCCACAAACTCACTGATGCGCCTGCAGCCGCTCAGAGTTCCTGCTGCTCTAAACATTAAAATAATTATTTCATTTTCTGTTCCTCACTTCTGATTACCTTCAATGGTGTCTGTTTGTTGCAACCACCAGGTACAAAAACTAACTTGTTTTTATTTGACTATTTTTCTGTCCTGTATCTGTTTATTATCTTCCTGCATCTCCTCTCAATCCTAAAGAAAAACTGCTACCTGGGTTCATACCCAGATAGCAAACGGACTTCAGACTGGATCCGTCCTGAAGGTACCGTAAGCTTTGGAACGGATCAGCAAAACGGACCCGTATCGGAGTCCACTTGCTCTCCGGAAAAGATCCGGAACGGATCATGATCATGGATCCGGATCATATCCGGTGAGGAGTCTGTCCGGATCAACTCCTTTGGCACATCATCCGATCCGGGTCCGTTTTGGACTCGTGCATAAAACTCATCATCCAGTCATAGTCCGTTTTGGACCCGTCTATGAAGCACATCATCCGGTCCGGATTTGGTTTGTACCCGTCCATCACCAGGTTCAGCTAGCTTTGTGTGCTCTTTAATAAAGGAAATAATCCAGTCTGGTTTTTTAATTTTATTTAATCATTGGAATTCCTTAATGTTTAATTAGTAAATGAAAACATGCAGTACCTGAGTACTCTTTACAGAAACTAAGAGCTTTGGAGTAAATGATTTAAAATTGTCACACCACACTTATCCTTTATATTAAAGGAAATACACACCCAAATCATAAACGTATTTTGATGAATATTTATTAGTAGTAATACTAATGTAGTATTACAGGAGTATAAAAAAGGTGTCCGTTACATGTGCAAGTATAAATTATAATAGTAATACAAACAGTAATAAAAAAAACTGTCCGTTACATGTGCAAGCAAATGTAGCGTTGTTAATCTACATAACTAGAATTTAACAGCTGTTGCTATTCAGCTTTGTTAAACCCTGAGAAAGATCAAACGAATACAGATATTTATATAATCGATAGAAGTTCATACACCAACTGGCTTGGTCTATATTTAATCAAAAGATTATTATTTAATTTAAGAGATTTAAATTAATAGCAAATGTTTATTTATTAATTCAGAAGATCTAAAGAGATCTTAGCTCGTTCAATGAACAATATACACCACTCTGAGTTTATTTCCATGGAGAGTCAAGTTAAAAAGGTTAAGAAATTTATTACTAAAACAATTTAAAATGTGACAATTTAAAACAATTTATAAAAGACAATTCATAAAAGCTTTGGTATTAAAAACAACCTCTGTGTTGGATGGATCTAAGATGAAGTGTGTTTGTTTGCGGGTGAATGCAATGTTCTCAGAATGTGTATCTTGAGCGAAGAGGAGCGTTCTGGGTGAAAAGAATTTGGTTTGCAGATAAACTAAAGTTGTTCTTATTGAAGAGCATTCCGATGCAATCTTGTGTTCTACCTCACCGTACAGACGACCCTCTGTTCAGATCCAGAGGTCATAGGAGGATGTTGATCAGCCTCTGGGTACTTGGTCCGGTAGGGGAGACCAGTGGTACCGACTCTCTGGTCCTAGAGTTGCCGCAGGCACACAGGTGTGGAATTGGTTCTTGAGGAAACTCGTAGCGTCAGCTTTGTTCGTAGGTGTTGTTGTGTCGGAGCAATTCTGCCAGCGTGACAGAGATCGCTTGTTTGGTTAAAGAGCGTCTGGGCGGCCGTCCCAACGTCTCTAGAACTCATTTGCAAAATGCTGAGAGTTCTGTTTTATAAGATGGACATTTCCCTGGTCTACGAATCAGGTTCTGACATGTAGATTTAACATACCGCAGAAGTCCGCCTTCCCAAGATAGAAAGCTCTGGTGTTATGGAAAAAGACATGTGAGTGCAGTTAACCTTAACCTGATTACTGTGTCCTGCATGGTGTGTATAAGTGCAGGTGATCTTCTTGTCACTGTTAAACATTACTGATTTTCATAAATAATAATAATTATTAACCAAAGAATAATAATTCATTTCAGTAATTAAATACATTTATAATGAACCTTTGGTGATTTAACAGTAAAAGAGTTTATTATAAATGATTCTTCTGGAACGTGATAAAATCCTTGTCTTGCTGTGGAGGCAAAGGAAGTCAAGATCTGGTAAGGCAGTTCAGATTAAAGATGGTTTACAGCAGACTTTGCGTCTCCTGTGATGGATAATCTGTAGATAGAAGTACAGCCAGGACAGTTTGACCCAGCTGAGGGAAGTGTGACCTTTGGGTCACAAATGAGGCCATTCATGTTGTAAAGGGTTTAATTTACATCTATTTAATGAGCCATAAGACATGAGATTCCATAGTGAATATGAAATCAATCTTATAGATCTTTGGGTACTTTTAACCAGAAGATTGGAACTTTTTATTGCAGGGATTATGTAACAACTTCGTATTAACTCAGAGACAAAAGAAAGAGAGTCAACTTTTAAAAATTTAAAGATTTATTACTAAATAAATTAAAACTAAACTAACTTTAAACACTAAATGTATGGTGTAACTAAGGTGAAGTGAGACGGAGAATGGTGTAGAGTGGAATGTTGTTCAGAACCAGCAAATCCGGAGAAACGATTAGTTCTGATGGGAGTGAAGGTGATGTCTTCGTGCTAAGCTTTGGTTAGGAGATTCATAACACACATTGAGACGCCATTCTGTTGGCCTACGTACCCTTTCAGAAGTCCCCTTTAGACCAGGAATGTCGAGGTCCAGCTTGACCCTCTCTGGAACCGAAGCCGGTAGGAAAAGCAGCGGTTGCCGACCAGACCAGTCTTGAGATACTTCCGGGTCACTACAGTTTTGTTGGCATCTAGCGAGACTCAAAACGGGGTCGTGATGGTTCAGCTTTTATTCTGAAAAGAACCGTTGCAGCAGTTGGAACAGCAACAGATTTTATCCAGCTTGTCGTTGGTTCTTTCGGTTGAACAGGAAAGTTACGGGTTGGCCACTCCGACAACTTCTCTAGAACGCTTTGAACCGGCGCTAAAGATGATGTGGGCATAGTTTTATAATTCGGATGTTTTGGTTTATGTCGAATGAAAAGATGACAGATTTACCAAGCGCCACCAAAACCACGCCTCCGTCAGATCTGGAAAATTCTGATTGGATCAGTAAAAGCCATGTGTGATGTGGCTTAACTTTTCGTGTGATCAGTCTCTAGTGGAAACATTTAAAGTTATATTGCTTATTATAAGATTATAATATCAAGTATTTAATATTTTCATTTCACAAATTGGTTCACATTTTATTATTGACTAACACTTTGTTTGATTAGCTTATTAAAAATAGAGTTTTTTGATTTATTAAAAAGGAAGAGTCCTTTGTCTTCATTCTTCTCTTGCGCTGGAAAGGAAAACAGTTTAGAAGCAAATGCATGAGACCTTGAACAATATCTCATGCAGATTAGTTCTTGCTGAGGAGAGGGGGGGAAATTACTTTTAGGTGGAAAACAGTCATTCATTCTGTTACAATGTCGCTACACAAAGTATAAAGTATAATAATAGTAATAGAAACAGCATTAAAAAATTGTGTTACCAGACTGTATATTGTGTTATGAAATGAATGCTGGTCAGTGGGTTGAACTTCTTGTGTACCACTACGTCGCCTAAAGCAATCTCGATCTGCTGCTAAGTTAAACCAGCGGACAGCATGTTTACATATGTCGTGGTTAAGCACGGGAGATGGGATTTTTTCCTCACAGATTCTGCAATCACAAAAGCAAATTTAAATGTTAATCATCATCCACCACCACAATTTTCTATTGTAACAGGACACAATCTCCACTAATATCATATTTCTCTAAGCAGAAAATAATTTGTCAACTAAAGCGCTCAATACTATTTCTTCTTTTATAAGACCAGCTTTAGAAGTAGCTATACAAGTTTATATTGACGCTGTGTAGCGTTTATAAGAAGTGAAACGCTGGAAACAATACCTCAGTGTGTGAATAGCAAAGGACTGAACTGGCTGGTGGCAAGAGCTGTCGTAGTGGAGCACATATTGTTGACCCAGAAAAATGTGTGAACATTTTAAAATGAGTACTTACACAGAAGCAGTGTTTTTGATGACATCTGGTTGAAAGACTTCTTCCCATTGACACTCCATTTCCTGGGGAGTTGCATCCAGCTTGCTGGTTAAATAATTGACCTCGGCTTCTAGTTGCTCCATCAGTTTTTTAGATGCTCCAGCAAGTCCAAAATCTGGGCTTCTGTGGCTGTTGGGAAGAATATTAGAAAATATACATCAGTCAGTTTTATCAGTTTGGAAAACATTATGTAGCAGATACAAACTCTATATTTTATATAATAAAAAGAAATTAAATAATGATTTATTCAAACTGTAACGGAACGAAATGATGTTTTTTCCCCTCCTCTGCACAGGACTAGTCTGCATGAGATATGGTCTCAAGGTCTCATGCATTCGCTCTAACCTGCTTCTTTTCAGCTCAACAGAAGAATGAAGAATGAACTCCTTTCTTTTAATTAATCAAAGAACTCTATTTTTAATAAAGCTAATCCAACCAAGTGTTAGTCAACAAATAAGATGTGACCGACCTGTGAAATCTAAATATTAATTACTTTATTACAATCCTATAGAATATAAAGGTACTATGACTTTAAATGTTCCAACAGGACTCATTTCACGTAGCGTTAAAAGACATGACACATTCCTTTCACTGATCCAATCAGAATCTGACAGATCCGACGGAGGCGTGGTTTTGATGGTGTTTGGTAACTCTGTCAAATTTTCATTCGACCATAAACCATAATATCTGAAGTATAAAACTATGCCCACATCATCTCTAACGCCAGTTCAAAGCGTTCCAGAGAAGTTGTCGGAGTGGCCAATCCGTAACTTTCCTCTTTAACCGAAAGAACCAACGACAAGCTGGAAAATTCGTTTTTGTTCAAACTGCTGCAACAGTTCCTTTCAAAATAAAAGCTGAACCATCAAGACCCAGGCTCGGGTCTCACCAAATGCCAACAAATTGTCGTGACCCAGGAGTATCTAAAAGACGGGTGGTCGGTTGCCGTGGCTTCTTCTACATGCTCCGGCTCCATAAGGTCAAGCTGGACCTTTACACCTCCTGATCTAGACGGGGACTTCCACTCAGGGTATGTAGACCGGCAAATGGCATTGAATGTATTTATGAACCTCCTAACCAAAGCTTAACGCGAAGACATCACCTTCAGTTTCCATCAGAACTAATCGCTTCTTCGGACTTGCTGGTTCTGATAAACATCACACGTCATCCATTCACCGTCTCATCCACTTTAGTTACACCATACATGTAGTGCTTAAAGTCAGTCTAGTTGAATTTGTTAGTAATAAAATTCTTAACTTTTAAACTTGACTCTCTCTCTTCTGTTGTCTCTGAGTGAATACGAAGCGGTTATCTAATCCCTGCATTAAAAAGTTCCAATCTTCTGGTTTAATTAACCTTACAGATCCGTAAGGTGGATTTCATATTTCCTATGGAATCCTACGCCTTATGGCTTATTAAATAACATGCAATTTAAATCATTTCAAAACCAACAACAAAAATTACCCACCAGAGCAGGGAAGGGTGCCCATAGTCAAACCTTCTCCCTCGCCAAGTAAGTGTGTGCACCTGGCTTGCAGACAAGGTTTGTTGTTGGCATGGTGATGGTTCAACAGCAGGAGATGGTGGTGGCGGGACAGCAGGAGCTGGTGGCTGTACTGATGTTTTGGATTGGCTTCTGGATTTCTTTCTTGGATGTTCGTCTTCACTGTCATCAGAATCCCCCCCAAAAATGACTATAATTTGGACAGGGAAATAACACTCAGTTGTCGTGGTACTCTCATTTCCATAATCTTTAAGTAGTTATTTAAGTCAGTTTTTATACTAGGTAACCTGTATTGTCTTCTCGGACATAGAAACTTGGATAAATGTTCCATACACGATATATGCATGCATGTTTCAATTACAATTCACAGGAAAACATGGAAAGATGCTTACATCGCCTTTGGCTTCCTCTTGGGTCGCATGTCCTCTTCCTCTTCTTCTGTCTGCAGGTTGGAAGTGTGGCATGACGTGACTTATTTAGGTGTTGTCTTGCCTCGAAGTACTGATCTAAAATTTGGTAAAAAATAATATTTTCAGATAATTGAAAGACTGAAGTCATACTTATTATATATATATATATATATATATATATATATATATATAAATATATATATATATATATATATATATATATATATATATATATATATATATATATATATATATATATATATAAAATAAGTAGCTTACCACATGATTTAAGAATTCGGACATCATACGTTTCCCATTCAGGTCCCGGCTCCTTTGCCCGGTTCACGCTTGCATCACTTTTATAATTCGGCCAACAGGTCACGCCATCACTGTACCAGTTCTCGGGCACCACTGCTACAGTTTTGTTGACGGTGAACTCAACTAGGTGGAACACCCTAATTAAAAAGGAGAAACACAAAACATTATGTTTACAAATATGAAAATTTTACAGAAGATGCAATTGATCAAATACTTTCTGTAACTAGCAGGTAATGTTGGGTGTTATCTATGGATGTTTAAATAATTTCATTTTAAAAGAGATAAGTTCTGTATTCCAGTAGTTTTATAGAATGTTTATTTACATCTTCTACTTCTCACACACACATGCACGCATACTTACAGTCAGATGTTATCCAATTTCAAACATAGGAGCATTTCTAAATATGTCACTGTCAGTCTCTGACCCTCACGGCTAACATCATTCTAACAAAACCACTATATTACAAGGGGAAATGTGCATCAATTACTTTTTAAAAAAACCTTCAAAAAGGTTCTGCAATATATGGCTATTGACAGCCAAACAATAAACAGTTGCTATGATAGATCAACTAATTTCAAATAAAACAGTTGTTTTCAGGAGCAACACATCTACTTTTGTGTGTAGTTGCACCACTAAAATGTGTGAAACGGGGATGACCACAAACCCATTCTTATGTGGAAGAACACATTTTTGCGCAAGCTCAGAAACTTTTTTTATTTTATTTTATTTTTTTTACCGTGTCCTGTCTGGCTGTGAAGCAAGCAGAATTGATGTCTGAATGCTGGTGACAAGCCTTACAGATTTACTCTCAGGTGGAGCATCAAAGCGTTTCCTTTTAATGTCACGTCTATTACTTAAAACTTTATTGTTATTGTTGTTGAATGCTTTGTAATTCCGACCAGACACGGAGACAGAGGTGAAAGAGAAAGGAAAAGAAAAGGTGGGGAGAGAGGAGGAGAAGGGAAGGGTTCCACAAAAATAAACAATGAACAAGAGTCTGCTTCTAGACCTGCAGAAAAAGACAAAAAAAGCAAAAGGACAAAAAAAATGGGACACAACAACAATACAACAAGATCTAGCTATCACTGCGTCAACTTGATGAAAAAAAAAAAATCAACATTGCTTAACTGAAGAATCACGATAATAAATCACAGTGCATTAAGTGCCCACCATAGTCTTAAGACCTGTGTTGAACGTGCCCAAGCCCATACTTTTGAGAGCACCATGTGCGCACCTGTGTGTGTACACGCGCTTGTTTATGTAAGGTTTCTCTATAGGAGCGTCCAACAGAGAGTGTGAGGGACCACAGATCCGCCCCCCAAAGATGCGTAGGAGACGGGAGGAGCTCCAAGTCCCAGAGATCCAGGCGCTGCCCCAGAGCACAGAAACCCCAAGGAGACTGCAACCAGAAAGGCCCCCGCCCCCCTCGAGAGGCACAGAGGATCGCCCCGGGGGGCCACAACCAGCAGCCGGCAGAGTCCTGGGAGACATCAGCGGCAAGCCCGCAGGCCCGCCCGCAGCCTCCCACCCCCTAGCCGGCCGAGCCCGGGACACAGCGACCCGGGATCCAGGGGCGACCACCCCCGCCGGGGACCCAGCAGAGCCCAGGGACCCAGACCCCACAAGGCAGCCACCGGGATCTATCAGGCAGATGCCAAAATCTTAAACCCCCAGACCCGGTTGCCACTAACACTCAGGCAGACCAAGGCACAAGGGAGGGAGAGGAGATGCGAAGGGAGGGCTAAGTGTTTATCTCCCCAGAAGAAGCTACAACGATGTTCTGCTGAGCTGTGGTGACCTCATGGAGGGGGCCATCGTCTAGCACACTGTTGCTAACCACTAAAACTTTCTCCCTCTCCTGATAATAACTTTTTGCTTTCCTTGACGTTGGATGTGCTACTACTAGTTTATCCGTTTAATTATAGATCCACTAGGATAAATACAATAAAGTTTATCTCTCACCAAATAGAATATTTACTAAGACATCACAATTTAACTATAGACACATTACTTGTCTGTGTGTGTGTGTGTGTGTGTGTGTGTGTGTGTGTGTGTGTGTGTGTGTGTGCCTGCTTTGTCTTCTCGATCCCCAGTGACTCGTGGAGGATGGCTGCTTATACTGAGCCAGGATTCTCTGGAGTTTCTTCCTGTTAAAAGGGAGTTTTCCTCTCCACTGTCGCTTTATGCTTGCTTAGTATGAGGATTGCTGTAAAGTCACTGACACTAGTCAATGACTTGATGCAATTTGCTGGGTTCCTTATATAGGAAACATTATTTCTGATTGGCTTAATGAACTGACCTGGATTGGAATGTTTATTATGTGAAGTGCCTTGAGACGACTCTTGTCGTGATTTGGCGCTATATAAATAAACTTGAATTGAATTGATTTGAATTGAAAGTTAACAATAATGACAGTATGCAGAAATATCTGTTTACCAGCTGCTCCTGCAGTGAATGATGACCCTTTATAGTCCATGAAGTTCTGCAGGGCTTTAGAAATGAAATGGCTGTTATGGCCTCACATTTCCTCGAACACTGGTTAATGTTCACGAGATCCAATTGCACTGTATTTAAATAAAGAACATCATCACGTCCTGCTCATGAGACATGTTTGTCTAACAAACCATTTATATAGATGACTTTCCACAAAAGGATGGCCAACTACCTTTGGGATCTGCTGGAAGTGGAGTTCCGCTCAGAAAAAGTGTAGTTTCTAGAAATTATAATTTAACCATAAATATAGCTGTGCATACATTACATTAAACATTCTTAACTGTTTATTTTAAATTACACACCCATTACGGCCTTTCCAGATGAATCCAGTGTGATATCTGCTGATGATATTTTATGAATGTCGGCCAGGGTCTTCTCATTCAACATATTGTGATGATGAATGATAGCGCGCATGAGAAAGATATGGCTCCCTGGAGACATCATATTTAGAAAGTAGTTATTCTTCCTCATTTTGGAGAACAACTGCTCTGCTACTTGAGAATTCACCCAACCGTGCAGTTCGAGTAACAGTGAAATTTTGCTCAAGCAGTCTTTTACTTCTCTGGTGTTGGCCTCGTGGAAAGTGTCATACAGAGCATAGTGTGCAGCTGAACCTGTAGAGGGGTGTGCATTGCTGTCTGCATGCTGCTTTTTAACCTTCAACCATGGCAGGTTTACTTTCAGATCACCTTTCTGGGCAGACTGAAGGTTTTCTGGCGTGGCATCAGCAAGTCTGCCTTCATTTGGCATAAAGGGGATTTTTAAAGGTTCACGCAGGTTTGTGTGCGTGGCCAAACCTCTTGCAAAATCATATATGACTGCATTAGGAAAGTGCTTAAATGATAGCAACATATCACAATAGTCCCTCGTACTTTCTGCCCTCACATTGAGCGTGATAGAATTCATGATTCCACAGGGGCACATTATAACTGCCCAGCCACCTTAACAAGAAACAAAGAAAGGGACGTTAGAGATTACACACACACACACACACACACACACACACACACACACACACACACACACACACACACACACACACACACACACACACACAATCTCAGATAAGTTTTTTGTGTTTGGATAAGCTTACCAGATGCACCCCACACTTTTGAAAAGACCTTGTCAAAAGCACTGCGACTTTTCATCTGCTCTTTCAACCTGATGACAAGATTCATTTTGGAACCCGTGGACTCAAGGCCACATTGTTTGTCCAGGTTTCACACTGCATCAACCTGTGAAAACATGGGCAAATACTTGACCAGACACAGAAACTGTAATGCAAAGATGCTAACATAAATTAGATTTTAAAATATGGGTTGTTTTCAGGTGTTTTTGTTGTGGTCTGTTAGCCCAGGCATCACCGCTAATCTCACCTTCAAGTTGATAATTTCATTAATCAATCTGTCCTCAGATCATCGACATATATATCGACATATGGGATCAACTGACAACACCCGGTCGAACTATCTACAATAGGGTGACCAGGTGTCCCAGTTTACCCGGGACAGTCCCGATTTTGAGCCATTTGTCCTGTGTCCCCAAAGATTTTTACAAACCAGTTATGTTGTCCCGATTTCACCCAGCCTTGGTCCCAAGTGTCCCGATTTTGAACTAATTGCTCATAGTTCACAGAACTAATTGTCACTGGGTTGTTTGTATGTCAATCAGAAAGTTGTCATAGTGACATTAGCTCAACTTTGTCACATGTCTGTGTAACCTAATGCTCATTGGTTGATGACAACGCCGTTGACGCAAGACGGCTCCTAAGTCCTGCGTTAAGACGATTCACCAAGTCACTCGTTGTTCAGCATGCCTAAAAGATGGTCAAGACTAACAAAAGAGCTACATCGGTGAACATGAGTTGCTTCCATAAATCTGAGTGAACTAGAGACCTTTGATCTTTAAGGACTTCATCTGTTTTATCCAAGTAGAAAGTTTGACGTGTTCTCTGAGTTGGTTCTCAGGTTTATAAATGCATTTCTGTCCGTTTGAATATATTTTAAACACTTTTCACCAGTTTAACGAGTCTTCTGTTTATTTTTATAGAGCCCATTTTAAAACAACTTTATTTGAGCAGTGTTGTGTCTACAAGCTGTAAAACATTACATCTTTTTAGAAATGCATCAGCTATAAACATGAAACATAAATAATAAACAATCACATGAATTAAAAATGGAAACTTTTTCAGTAAAAGCAGAACTCGGTTTTAACCTGTTAAACCCCAAAAACAACCAGATTAGTAAAGTGTGTCTTGTGCACACATGCAGATGCAGACACACATCTCTTGTATTGTAAACAAGTCATTGTAGCTTTTTCATAACTGTTTTATGACACAAGTGGATTTAATGTGTCTTGTTTTGTCCTCACAGGCATCTTCATCGTGGAGCGTCCCGCGACTGCAGGGGCCCCTGAGGTCATCCGGATTCTCGATGAAGATGAAGGTAGGTACCCAGCCCTTCACATTCCTGATGATGATGTGGTGTTTGTGGGTCATGGTCAGGCTCCTCCAGTAGAGGCAGAGCGTGCTATTGAGGGTCTGTGGTCAGCTTTAAAAGGTTTTATGGCTTCTAGTGTGGACTCTGGTTATGGTAGCTCAGTTCTGGATAGAGATGAAGTCCAGCAGCTTCCACCACTAGAAGACTTCTCGCTGGCGGTAGCTCCTCCGGCCCCGCCGGAAGAGCTTCCAGAAGATCCCAGGCCTGCCCACGGGAGCGCTGAAGAGGTCCAGGATGTAGAAGAACCCACTCCTTCTACCTCGGCCCTTGGATCCAGCCAGAAGAGGACTGGAGAGCGCTTCCCGTACATCCCACTGAAGAGACCAAGATGGGACGACTCCGACTCGGACTAGAGATTTTTTTTTTCCAGTGCAGCGCCACTGAATATCATTTCTTTCTTTCTTTCTTGAACTGGTTGACTGGAAATGTTTGTCTCAGGTAGCTTGTTGCACCAGGACTGTTTTTTACCAGGTCACCAGATGTTTGTTTTAGTCACCAAGTGTTTTATCAAGTCAGCTGAACTGGTGATGTCTTAGGTAGCATCTGGCACCAGGACGTCTTCATCCGTTGGCTGAGTTTAGTGTTTTATTATTTAAGAAGTGTGTTTTTAGAGCTGGTAGAACTGGAGATGCTGATGTGGACGGTTTCACCTGGGCTTCTGTGTCTGGTTGCTAAATCTTCTATTTTATTTGGGTCCTCTCACACACACACACACACACACACACACACACACACACACACACACACACACACACACACACACACACACACACACACACACACACACACACACACACACACACGCACATACATATATATTAGTATATGATATTCTAACGTTCACTAAAAGATGAAAGCCTGGAACACAAGAGGCCATCGGAGCAAACAAGATCCCACCTGAGATGGATGGTGAGAGGTGGCAGAAGATAAACAAGAGACCAAGGAGGGCAGGAAGATGGAGGCTAAACTACAACTACAGTGATGCTTCTGATAATCTGGTAGAACAGATAGAGCAGGTCTTAGTGAGGAATGGGACGTTTACTTGGTGACATGAGCGTAAGCTGATGGTGATCTTTGATCCGTATGAAAGACGAGGACGATAACATCATCTTCATCATGTCCTTTCTGTTTCACTAACTGTTCTGTCACAAGAAACTGTTCTAAATAATCTGTAGAAGCGTTTGATTCCAGGTTTAGGAGGAGCTCTCCGTGTCTGTTTGTGTCCTCACGTCCTGCTGGACTGAGCTTCTCTGGGCTTTGTGGTCCTGCAGGAACCAGGAAGGAGCTGAACAGCAGAGCTCTGACACAGACGGAGCAAACAAAGGTTTTAGTGTTTAAATGTGCACGCGTTTAAAAATAGCTCTTTACAAAAGTTAAACAATAAATACTAAAATATTAAAGGCTAATAAAATATAGTCTAAACATGTAAATGATTCAAATGAACTTGAATATTTGAACAAGTTACTGTGCGGTTAAATTAAAGCAATAAAGACTCCGATTATTTACATTCAACATAACTTTAAGATTCACCGCAGAACAAAATTACGATGCGTTTGACCGCGACTAAAGAACGGATAAACATCGTAAAAGAGCGAGAAGTTAACGAAAAGCATAAAAGTCAAAGCAGGCTCTAAATCTGTAAAACGTTTATAAAATACTAAAATGAATTTAATTAGAAATAATTTTTTAGTCTGACGGTTTCTTTTTTCCTGCTTCAAGACAGAATTTATGTTCCAACATTAAATGCTGTGTTGATGCAGGTTTTGCTTTACCGTCTCGCGTCGCCCAAAGCAAAAGGCTCTGGTAACGGAACTCTCAGTAATGAGACGGGGTTCGATTCCCTGCAGGGCCCTGCTGCTTATGCCGACTGAGACTAACGCTGTTTCACTACACTTTACCATCTACATAAAGATAAACTAGGCTCAGTTATTCATTTTAAGGAATTTTGTCATAAATCATCATAAAAATCTAAATTCCTCTAAACAGTGAAGAGCTGTTTGTCATACGTCACTAAAAAGATGTCTTACAGGGCAGCTCATGCCGCTAGTACGTCGTGTTTAGCTGTATTTTAATCAACTTCATATTCAATAATTACAGAAAATTGTGTTTACAGTTGCAGCCAAACGTCTGAACCCTATGTCGGAGTCCTACACACATTTTAAAGCCACGATATGAAATTTTTTCATATTTCAAAATTTTCTTGAGCCAGTATGTGCTAAAGTGACCGTTAACAGCAGTGGTATGAAGTTCCCAGCCTGGAGGGCCGGTATCAAGCACGTTTTAGTTTTAACTCCGTTTCGACACACCTGATTTCAACCAGCAGGTGATTAACTCCTTAGCATTCCAGCGTCCCGCCCGAGGGACAAAACCCCATTGCGCTGGAAATTTACGGGGTTAAGCTTCTGCAGAGCCTGAACTGCTGCACAGGTGATTAAACCACTGAATCAAACATAATGGAGCAGAGAAACCACTAAAACGTGCTGGATACCGGCCCTCCAGGACCGGAATCGAATACTCCTGTTTTAGAGGGTTAATGAACAGCCACCCAGCACACATCGCACCCCTTTGGCCAGAATGTTCTACTTTCAACTCCAGACTGGCAGTTGGCTCTGTTGGGACTCAAACAAATATTGAGCGGACATACCTGGAGCTGCAGTCTGCTTCCAGCACATTTCCTGCATGTTTTAAATCATGAACGCAGCTGATTTATAATATGTTTATTGCCAGACAGAAGTCCATTTTAAAAGAAACATACAGATAAAAGAAAAAGATACAAGAAAAGAAAGGATACCAATTAACATTAATACCAATAAAAGCCTGTATAAAATCACAGGATATAACTGCAGTGGAGGTAAGGGACAACAAAACTAACTAGTTGAGATAAATCTACCCAAACATTTTAACCAGTGCATTCTCAGCCTAGACATATAACGAGAGCAGCTCACAGTGGGATTTGAGAGTGCAACTATAATACTATTGGAAGACTCTTCCAGCCGTCTCATAAACTTGAACATGAAATTTCTTAGAAGTGCCTTAAATGTGCACACGCTCACAGAAACACACGTTTGACTAGCACTGCCTCCCCTGGGAATTTTGAGGAGGATTCTCGTTGCATCATTGTTTGCCACTTGTAACCTGTGCAAGCTCGATTTTTTATAGAATGACCCCAGATGTGCAGTAGATAGTGGTGTGCAGTATGCTTTAAGTAATGCCACTTTAACAGGTGTGGAACAACAGCTGAAAGTCCGTGCAATGGTGTTTGCTTGCACATATAGCTTGCAGCACTGCCTGTAAATATCATCATCGCCGCTCATATTGGCTGTGATAAAGTGTCCAAGATATTTCATCTTTTCACAGACTGCAAGACTGTTGCTGGACAACTTAAACACAGGAAAATTACGCCTTTTATCCTGGGTGGTTCTGTAGATTAGAACAACACTTTTGCTCGAGTTATATTTTAAATCATATTCCATTCCATACCCAGTACTAACATCTAGGAGCTGCTGCTGCTGATTTGTTCAATTTAGTGATGAATCACTCATGTAGACACTGAGGGTGGTTTCCAGGAGCACTACTCGGCCTAAAACAGCTCTGTACAGCGTGGTCTGAGTCAGCCCATCTGAAAGCAGGTTTGTTCCCACGCCAGCTCCATGAAGCCCCTAGCCAATCAGCGGCCAGAATCACGATACCGGCCCAACTCAGCCTTGCCAGGTACCTCAATGGAGCAGGGACTAAAAATAGGGGAGAAAATGGAGGGAAAATACCAAACCGTGCCCTTGGAAACCGTGGTCGGGCTGAACTGCATCGGTCCGAGTTGCCCTGAGTAGTGTTCCTGGAAAAGCACCTTAAGGCTGCAGAACCAGGCATATCGGCTCTACTAACTCCAACAGACCTGACCGGCAATCTGAAGTTGCAAGTGTGGTATTCTGGCCACAGAGCGGTGAGGGTCTGAGTGACATTTCATTCACCATGTAAAGGGTCATTTTGGCACATACTGGCTCAAGAAAATGAGTTCAAAATACGAAAAAGTTGTAAAGTATCACTTTAAGTTATCTTGGTGTCGTGGTCTGGGGTGAGTCCTCCTCTCTCTGCTAAACCTTCTCTGAGCTTCTCCTGCAGGTGGGCGTGTCAAGGAGTGACCAGCTGCAGCCCATCTGCTCATCAGTTGGCCAGGGACATATAAGCTGCTGGGAGACATCTTTATTCGCTGGATGATTAACTCAACTTTGGTATCTACCGCTCCCGAGCCTGATTACTGAGTAATCCGAATAGATATCGTCCAAGTCGTACTTCTAGCCAGATTGCTAGTTCCTGTGTGTTTTTCCAAGCTTGCCTGAGTTTTGTAAGCTGCCTCTTCTCCAGATTTCCACCACCACCTTTCATACCGTGCTGCAACCTACCGGACCAGTCCCGCTGTCTCCCAGCCGTTCCCTGGCTGTCCACTCCAAACTGACCTTACCTTACCGGATCCTGCTCCCTATTCTGTGCTCAGCTCCTCCAGCCCTCCAGCGACCTGGAAACCCAGTCTCCTGTGATCCAGCAAGCGTGTGTTCTTCAAGGTACTGAAAATGTCAAAAAGAGCTGGTGAGATTGCTTAAAGGGGTTTTGTGCAAAAATCTTCATTTTCCTGTTTTGTATAGACCACAAAATTGTTCTAACTTTAAAAATATAGTCGCAACACGTCCCCTTTAACATGTGCTTTTGTAGCAGGAAGTCCTTTACAGTTCTCCAATCAGCCCCAAGACAAAATGCACATTGCCGTAAATGAAGCATTAAAAAGGCAAAGCGAGGTTTAATTTATACATTTATTCTGATCACAACTGTACAGGAGTGTATCGTCACAGCAGAAACGCAACCTAAACCTGACCGTGGAACAACAGCCGTCACAACACATCCAGAACTCCAACAGAAATGTACAGGCTCAGATCATTTCAACTCAACATTTAGATTCCTCTTGATCATCATGATAGTTATTATTATTCACATAGAACTATCTGTCTTTCAAATATCTTTGTTTTAAAGAGCATAAAAATACAAGTGGACTTTTCACTAGGATGAAAACTGGTGGCTGATCCACCGTCTTGGCTTATATGAAGGGAAAACACTGAAAACTGGGGGCGTCGGGAGGAGTGAAGCCAACTTATTACAGCTTACCAGATTTTTTTGTTATTTTATTTATTTATATTAGCTCATACAAAGCTTTGCAGTAGTTACAGAAGGTTGCAGATATTTGGGCGTTGACTTTTAGGGTTAAGTCACTTGGACATCACTGACACAAAGAGGCGTTGTCAAAGAAATCATGAAGCTGTTAAACAAAAGGAATAGATAAATACGAAGGCACGGAGATTTGCAGAATAAACACCAAATTTAGAAATAATGGTGATAAAAGAGGAAGACGAGATGGAGGTCAAGTTGATTAAAGGCAATTTTACTAACCAAACACTAGAGGGCGCTTTAGGAGCGCCAGTTTTAAACCTACCGTAAATCCTCTAATACAGGCCCGGAACTGTATTTGACTCAAGCTCATCAAGCTCCAGGCCTTTATTGGAAGGAGGGACAGAATTAGAGGCAGGCCTCAATTTCTATTTGAGCAAAATGAACTAATGGTTCGCTGGAGTTTTTGACAATTAAAATTGCGCCCACATTTTCAAAGTTAAACACATTTCTTTTAACAACGGTAGTTTCTGCTTCAGCCATCTCCCCCCTCCCCCTGCGCAGCGGCCACAAACTCACTGATGCGCCTGCAGCCGCTCAGAGTTCCTGCTGCTCTAAACATTAAAATAATTATTTCATTTTCTGTTCCTCACTTCTGATTACCTTCAATGGTGTCTGTTTGTTGCAACCACCAGGTACAAAAACTAACTTGTTTTTATTTGACTATTTTTCTGTCCTGTATCTGTTTATTATCTTCCTGCATCTCCTCTCAATCCTAAAGAAAAACTGCTACCTGGGTTCATACCCAGATAGCAAACGGACTTCAGACTGGATCCGTCCTGAAGGTACCGTAAGCTTTGGAACGGATCAGCAAAACGGACCCGTATCGGAGTCCACTTGCTCTCCGGAAAAGATCCGGAACGGATCATGATCATGGATCCGGATCATATCCGGTGAGGAGTCTGTCCGGATCAACTCCTTTGGCACATCATCCGATCCGGGTCCGCTTTGGACCCGTGCATAAAACTCATCATCCAGTCATAGTCCGTTTTGGACCCGTCTATGAAGCACATCATCCGGTCCGGATTTGGTTTGTACCCGTCCATCACCAGGTTCAGCTAGCTTTGTGTGCTCTTTAATAAAGGAAATAATCCAGTCTGGTTTTTTAATTTTATTTAATCATTGGAATTCCTTAATGTTTAATTAGTAAATGAAAACATGCAGTACCTGAGTACTCTTTACAGAAACTAAGAGCTTTGGAGTAAATGATTTAAAATTGTCACACCACACTTATCCTTTATATTAAAGGAAATACACACCCAAATCATAAACGTATTTTGATGAATATTTATTAGTAGTAATACTAATGTAGTATTACAGGAGTATAAAAAAGGTGTCCGTTACATGTGCAAGTATAAATTATAATAGTAATACAAACGGTAGTAAAAAAAACTGTCCGTTACATGTGCAAGCAAATGTAGCGTTGTTAATCTACATAACTAGAATTTAACAGCTGTTGCTATTCAGCTTTGTTAAACCCGGAGAAAGATCAAACGAATACAGATATTTATATAATCGATAGAAGTTCATACACCAACTGGCTTGGTCTATATTTAATCAAAAGATTATTATTTAATTTAAGAGATTTAAATTAATAGCAAATGTTTATTTATTAATTCAGAAGATCTAAAGAGATCTTAGCTCGTTCAATGAACAATATACACCACTCTGAGTTTATTTCCATGGAGAGTCAAGTTAAAAAGGTTAAGAAATTTATTACTAAAACAATTTAAAATGTGACAATTTAAAACAATTTATAAAAGACAATTCATAAAAGCTTTGGTATTAAAAACAACCTCTGTGTTGGATGGATCTAAGATGAAGTGTGTTTGTTTGCGGGTGAATGCAATGTTCTCAGAACGTGTATCTTGAGCGAAGAGGAGCGTTCTGGGTGAAAAGAATTTGGTTTGCAGATAAACTAAAGTTGTTCTTATTGAAGAGCATTCAGATGCAATCTTGTGTTCTACCTCACCGTTCAGACGACCCTCTGTTCAGATCCAGAGGTCATAGGAGGATGTTGATCAGCCTCTGGGTACTTGGTCCGGTAGGGGAGAGCAGTGGTACCGACTCTCTGGTCCTAGAGTTGCCGCAGGCACACAGGTGTGGAATTGGTTCTTGAGGAATCTCGTAGCGTCAGCTTTGTTCGTAGGTGTTGTTGTGTCGGAGCAATTCTGCCAGCGTGACAGAGATCGCTTGTTTGGTTAAAGAGCGTCTGGGCGGCCGTCCCAACGTCTCTAGAACTCATTTGCAAAATGCTGAGAGTTCTGTTTTATAAGATGGACATTTCCCTGGTCTACGAATCAGGTTCTGACATGTAGATTTAACATACCGCAGAAGTCCGCCTTCCCAAGATAGAAAGCTCTGGTGTTATGGAAAAAGACATGTGAGTGCAGTTAACCTTAACCTGATTACTGTGTCCTGCATGGTGTGTATAAGTGCAGGTGATCTTCTTGTCACTGTTAAACATTACTTATTATCATAAATAATAATAATTATTAACCAAAGAATAATAATTCATTTCAGTAATTAAATACATTTATAATGAACCTTTGGTGATTTAACAGTAAAAGAGTTTATTATAAATGATTCTTCTGGAACGTGATAAAATCCTTGTCTTGCTGTGGAGGCAAAGGAAGTCAAGATCTGGTAAGGCAGTTCAGATTAAAGATGGTTTACAGCAGACTTTGCGTCTCCTGTGATGGATAATCTGTAGATAGAAGTACAGCCAGGACAGCTTGACCCAGCTGAGGGAAGTGTGACCTTTGGGTCACAAATGAGGCCATTCATGTTGTAAAGGGTTTAATTTACATCTATTTAATGAGCCATAAGACATGAGATTCCATAGTGAATATGAAATCAATCTTATAGATCTTTGGGTACTTTTAACCAGAAGATTGGAACTTTTTATTGCAGGGATTATGTAACAACTTCATATTAACTCAGAGACAAAAGAAAGAGAGTCAACTTTTAAAAATTTAAAGATTTATTACTAAATAAATTAAAACTAAACTAACTTTAAACACTAAATGTATGGTGTAACTAAGGTGAAGTGAGACGGAGAATGGTGTAGAGTGGAATGTTGTTCAGAACCAGCAAATCCGGAGAAACGATTAGTTCTGATGGGAGTGAAGGTGATGTATTCGTGCTAAGCTTTGGTTAGGAGATTCATAACACACATTGAGACGCCATTCTGTCGGCCTACGTACCCTTTCAGAAGTCCCCTTTAGACCAGGAATGTCGAGGTCCAGCTTGACCCTCTCTGGAACCGAAGCCGGTAGGAAAAGCAGCGGTTGCCGACCAGACCAGTCTTGAGATACTTCCGGGTCACTACAGTTTTGTTGGCATCTAGCGAGACTCAAAACGGGGTCGTGATGGTTCAGCTTTTATTCTGAAAAGAACCGTTGCAGCAGTTGGAACAGCAACAGATTTTATCCAGCTTGTCGTTGGTTCTTTCGGTTGAACAGGAAAGTTACGGGTTGGCCACTCCGACAACTTCTCTAGAACGCTTTGAACCGGCGCTAAAGATGATGTGGGCATAGTTTTATAATTCGGATGTTTTGGTTTATGTCGAATGAAAAGATGACAGATTTACCAAGCGCCACCAAAACCACGCCTCCGTCAGATCTGGAAAATTCTGATTGGATCAGTAAAAGCCATGTGTGATGTGGCTTAACTTTTCGTGTGATCAGTCTCTAGTGGAAACATTTAAAGTTATATTACTTATTATAAGATTATAATATCAAGTATTTAATATTTTCATTTCACAAATTGGTTCACATTTTATTATTGACTAACACTTTGTTTGATTAGCTTATTAAAAATAGAGTTTTTTGATTTATTAAAAAGGAAGAGTCCTTTGTCTTCATTCTTCTCTTGCGCTGGAAAGGAAAACAGTTTAGAAGCAAATGCATGAGACCTTGAACAATATCTCATGCAGATTAGTTCTTGCTGAGGAGAGGGGGGGGGAATTACTTTTAGGTGGAAAACAGTCATTCATTCTGTTACAATGTCGCTACACAAAGTATAAAGTATAATAATAGTAATAGAAACAGCATTAAAAAATTGTGTTACCAGACTGTATATTGTGTTATGAAATGAATGCTGGTCAGTGGGTTGAACTTCTTGTGTACCACTACGTCGCCTAAAGCAATCTCGATCTGCTGCTAAGTTAAACCAGCGGACAGCATGTTTACATATGTCGTGGTTAAGCACGGGAGATGGGATTTTTTCCTCACAGATTCTGCAATCACAAAAGCAAATTTAAATGTTAATCATCATCCACCACCACAATTTTCTATTGTAACAGGACACAATCTCTACTAATATCATATTTCTCTAAGCAGAAAATAATTTGTCAACTAAAGCGCTCAATACTATTTCTTCTTTTATAAGACCAGCTTTAGAAGTAGCTATACAAGTTTATATTGACGCTGTGTAGCGTTTATAAGAAGTGAAACGCTGGAAACAATACCTCAGTGTGTGAATAGCAAAGGACTGAACTGGCTGGTGGCAAGAGCTGTCGTAGTGGAGCACATATTGTTGACCCAGAAAAATGTGTGAACATTTTAAAATGAGTACTTATGCAGAAGCAGTGTTTTTGATGACATCTGGTTGAAAGACTTCTTCCCATTGACACTCCATTTCCTGGGGAGTTGCATCCAGCTTGCTGGTTAAATAATTGACCTCGGCTTCTAGTTGCTCCATCAGTTTTTTAGATGCTCCAGCAAGTCCAAAATCTGGGCTTCTGTGGCTGTTGGGAAGAATATTAGAAAATATACATCAGTCAGTTTTATCAGTTTGGAAAACATTATGTAGCAGATACAAACTCTATATTTTATATAATAAAAAGAAATTAAATAATGATTTATTCAAACTGTAACGGAACGAAATGATGTTTTTTCCCCTCCTCTGCACAGGACTAGTCTGCATGAGATATGGTCTCAAGGTCTCATGCATTCGCTCTAACCTGCTTCTTTTCAGCTCAACAGAAGAATGAAGAATGAACTCCTTTCTTTTAATTAATCAAAGAACTCTATTTTTAATAAAGCTAATCCAACCAAGTGTTAGTCAACAAATAAGATGTGACCGACCTGTGAAATCTAAATATTAATTACTTTATTACAATCCTATAGAATATAAAGGTACTATGACTTTAAATGTTCCAACAGGACTCATTTCACGTAGCGTTAAAAGACATGACACATTCCTTTCACTGATCCAATCAGAATCTGACAGATTCGACGGAGGCGTGGTTTTGATGTCTTCGTCTTCCTCCGCTTATCCGGGTCCGGGTCGCGGGGGCAGCATCCCAATTAGGGAGCTCCAGGCCGTCCTCTCCCCGGCCTTGTCCACCAGCTCCTCCGGCAGGACCCCAAGGCGTTCCCGGACCAGAATGGAGATGTAACCTCTCCAACGTGTCCTGGGTCGACCCGGGGGCCTTCTGCCGGCAGGACATGCCCGAAACACCTCCCCGGGGAGGCGTCCAGGAGGCATCCTGACCAGATGCCCAAACCACCTCAACTGGCTCCTTTCGATCCGGAGGAGCAGCGGTTCTACTCCGAGTCCCTCCCGAATGTCCGAGCTCCTCACCCTATCTCTAAGGCTGAGCCCGGCCACCCTACGGAGGAAACTCATTTCGGCCGCTTGTATCCGCGATCTCGTTCTTTCGGTCATTACCCAAAGCTCATGACCATAGGTGAGGATTGGGACGTAGATCGACCGGTAAATCGAGAGCCTGGCTTTCTGGCTCAGCTCCCTCTTCCCCACGACAGATCGGCTCAGCGTCCGCATCACTGCAGATGCCGAACCAATCCGCCTGTCGATCTCCCGATCCCTCCTACCCTCACTCGTGAACAAGACCCCGAGATACTTAAACTCCTCCACTTGAGGTAGGACCTCTCCCCCGACCCGGAGGTGGCAAGCCACCCTTTTCCGGTGGTTTTGATGGTGTTTGGTAACTCTGTCAACTTTTCATTCGACCATAAACCATAATATCCGAAGTATAAAACTATGCCCACATCATCTCTAACACCAGTTCAAAGCGTTCCAGAGAAGTTGTCGGAGTGGCCAATCCGTAACTTTCCTCTTTAACCGAAAGAACCAACAACAAGCTGGAAAATTCGTTTTTGTTCAAACTGCTGCAACAGTTCCTTTCAAAATAAAAGCTGAACCATCAAGACCCAGGCTCGGGTCTCAGCAAATGCCAACAAATCGTCATGACCCAGGAGTATCTCAAGACGGGTGGTCGGTTGCCGTGGCTTCTTCTACATGCTCCGGCTCCATAAGGTCAAGCTGGACCTTTACACCTCCTGATCTAGACGGGGACTTCCGCTCAGGGTATGTAGACCGGCAAATGGCATTGAATGTATTTATGAACCTCCTAACCAAAGCTTAACGCGAAGACATCACCTTCAGTTTCCATCAGAACTAATCGCTTCTTCGGATTAGCTGGTTCTGATCAACATCACACGTCATCCATTCACCGTCTCATCCACTTTAGTTACACCATACATGTAGTGCTTAAAGTAAGTCTAGTTGAATTTGTTAGTAATAAAATCCTTAACTTTTAAACTTGACACTCTCTCTTCTGTTGTCTCTGAGTGAATACGAAGCGGTTATCTAATCCCTGCATTAAAAAGTTCCAATCTTCTGGTTTAATTAACCTTACAGATCCGTAAGGTGGATTTCATATTTCCTATGGAATCCTTCGCCTTATGGCTTATTAAATAACATGCAATTTAAATCATTTCAAAACCAACAACAAAAATTACCCACCAGAGCAGGGAAGGGTGCCCATAGTCAAACCTTCTCCCTCGCCAGGTAAGTGTGTGCACCTGGCTTGCAGACAAGGTTTGTTGTTGGCATGGTGATGGTTCAACAGCAGGAGATGGTGGTGGCGGGACAGCAGGAGCTGGTGGCTGTACTGATGTTTTGGATTGGCTTCTGGATTTCTTTCTTGGATGTTCGTCTTCACTGTCATCAGAATCCCCCCCAAAAATGACTATAATTTGGACAGGGAAATAACACTCAGTTGTCGTGGTACTCTCATTTCCATAATCTTTAAGTAGTTATTTAAGTCAGTTTTTATACTAGGTAACCTGTATTGTCTTCTCGGACATAGAAACTTGGATAAATGTTCCATACACGATATATGCATGTTTCAATTACAATTCACAGGAAAACATGGAAAGATGCTTACATCGCCTTTGGCTTCCTCTTGGGTCGCATGTCCTCTTCCTCTTCTTCTGTCTGCAGGTTGGAAGTGTGGCATGACGTGACTTATTTAGGTGTTGTCTTGCCTCGAAGTACTGATCTAAAATTTGGTAAAAAATAATATTTTCAGATAATTGAAAGACTGAAGTCATACTTATTATATATATATATATATATATATATATATATATATATATATATATATATATATATATATATATATATATATAAAGTAGCTTACCACATGATTTAAGAATTCGGACATCAGACGTTTCCCATTCAGGTCCTGGCTCCTTTGCCCGGTTCACGCTTGCATCACTTTTATAATTCGGCCAACAGGTCACGCCGTCACTGTACCAGTTCTCGGGCACCACTGCTACAGTTTTGTTGACGGTGAACTCAACTAGGTGGAACACCCTAATTAAAAAGGAGAAACACAAAACATTATGTTTCCAAATATGAAATTTTTACTGAAGATGCACTTGATCAAATACTTTCTGTAACTAGCAGGTAATGTTTGGTGGCATTTATGGATGTTTAAATAATTTCATTTTAAAAGAGATAAGTTCTGTATTCCAGTAGTTTTATAGAATGTTTATTTACATCTTCTACTTCTCACACACACATGCACGCATACTTACAGTCAGATGTTATCCAATTTCAAACATAGGAGCATTTCTAAATATGTCACTGTCAGTCTCTGACCCTCATGGCTAACATCATTCTAACAAAACCACTATATTACAAGGGGAAATGTGCATCAATTACTTTTTAAAAAAACCTTCAAAAAGGTTCTGCAATATATGGCTATTGACAGCCAAACAATAAACAGTTGCTATGATAGATCAACTAATTTCAAATAAAACAGTTGTTTTCAGGAGCAACACATCTACTTTTGTGTGTAGTTGCACCACTAAAATGTGTGAAACGGGGATGACCACAAACCCATTCTTATGTGGAAGAACACATTTTTGCGCAAGCTCAGAAGCTTTAACACACTTCAGTGTGTCTGATGTGTGAGAAATTGTATAAATATGTAGATAGTCAAAGCTGAATGGGTAAGTGAAGAACAAAGACTTGTTTGAAATGTCTTTGTAAATCACATATACTCCATCATTGCACTCTATAATATTATGTATGCAGCAAATGTAATTTCCAATGACAAAAACATTATCTCTGGATGAAATTGTAACTGTCCACTTGTCACAGGTGCAATGATCATAGAGGGTAAAGTTCAGGTGTAGGGAATGAAATGCACCTCGTGTACTGGAAAAGTGTCACAAAAAGATCAAAATGACTATAACCCTATAATATATGTAAGGGAAAATCAACTCTTTTGAGCAAAAATGTTATCAAAACAGAAGGGCAAAATAATCTGTAGCCCATAACTGGCAAAATTCAAAATATAATTGATTATAACAGAAATGACGAAATAAATCTGCTGCAATTAAATAATGCAGAAATGTATATCTGTGAATATCTTTCTGACAGAAATAATAATATAATTACCAGTAATATAAAGAACAAACAATAAAAATGTAAATCAGTGTTGTTAGTAATCAAACCTATATGTGAATATACCCATAAGGACTTATAGACTAGTAGATAAAATAAAAATGGAATTTGGATAAACATAACAGTTTGTGGAATACTCCCTTTACTGTTACAACTTAACCATTATTGGACTCCAGCAACCCACAGCTTGACCATCCCAAGTCACTCCAAGTCTGCACGTCATGCATAGACAGGAAATACAACCATGCACACGCACAACATAAACAAACTTGTGTAACCTGAAACAGAGAACTATGGGACAGGCGACGGAAAATTCACCCCCCTTTCGGTTCGATGCGAGTTTGGTCATCAGTGTCTTGGGTTGCAATATCATCCAGTTAGTGGAACCAGGGGTGGCGTTAGGCCCGGCTACTTGGGCTCAAGCCCCGGATGTTTCATGAAAAGCCCCGGATCTAAAACGTGGAAGTAACATGCAGTACCAAAGTCCAACAGAGAGGGAGCAGCTGGCAGTAGTTTGTATACAGCCTGCCTGAGCCTCCACCACTGAAGAAGAAGCCCTTCAGCAGCCGGCTTCTTTTGCACTCTCTGCCTGAAACGCATGAGTGAAGATGGACATAAGGACGTTTTTAGACCAAAAGTACAACGACAGAACCCCAGCTTTGATGAGACTGGTGTTGACTCAGGTTTGTGAGTCTTATTTGAAAATATTTGTTGTGCTGCTGGTTTGCCTAAAGTTAGCTTACTATCAGGTAACGTTGTTGGAGAAAGAAAGGGAATATTTACTATCATCTCACACTAAACACTAACAGGAACAATACTCTGTCCTGAATATGCTTAATATGTAGCTTCAGATTAAACATTATGTGGTACAAGACAAATATATATGATGTTGACTAGTGTGTGTCGTGTGTGTCGTGTGTGTGTGTGTGTGTGTGTGTGTGTGTGTGTGTGTGTGTGTGTGTGTGTGTGTGTGTGTGTGTGTGCGTGCGTGTGCGTGTGCGTGTGCGTTAAGCCCCGGATCTTCTTCAGTCCTAAATCCGCCCCTGAGTGGAACCCTTGTAGCCTGGCAACCCAGACAGAATTTGATCTAGTTCACTAGGCTAGAACCCTTGTGCAGTTTCAATCAATCATTTATTTATTAATTAGGACAGTGCATGTTAACATCAGACATGCTGAAACATGCCAGAATAAGCCTCACTCGCATCGATTGCTTTTTTATAATCAGCTGCTCCCAAACCTTAAATCTTGCAGTTATGAAAGTATTACAGTTTCCGATCATGCCCCCCTGGTTCTTAAAATGGCTCTTCTGGATAGTGACTTAGTGAAAAGGTATTGGAGGTTAGATCTGTTGCTGCTTGCCGATGAAACATTTGTTTCAGATATTTCCTCTAAAATTAAAATCTTTTTGATTGAAAATAGGACCCCAGGCATGCCTTGTCAAACAATCTGGGTAGCATTGAAGGCCTTCCTCAGGGGCGAAATAATTTCTTTTGCTGCATTTAAACGGAGAGCTGTGGAAAAGAGACAGAAGGATATTTCAGACCAAATTCTTGATTTGGATAGACTATATGCACACTCACCATCTCCTGCATTGTGCAAAGAACGATTAAGGCTACAGACTGAATTTAATATCCTTTCTTCCCACCAGGTCAAAGTCTGTTTGATCAGAAGTAAGAGCAATTTTTATGAGCACCCAATTTACCCAATTTCCAGCACTACTACTGGGCTGCGAACATTAGGAGTATGCTGTACTGGAGGCACTTTCATCTTGAATCTTCATCTCCAATCTGGGTCACCATGGAGGCCCATGCGGTTGGTGCAACAGTCTCTCTTTCTGCACTCTTAGGTGCGCCACTTCCACTTTCCTGTTCTATCGCTTCCGGGAGCCCAGTGGTTAAGCAGTCCCTGAAAATCTGGTCTCAATTCAGAAAAACTCTGGGTCTTCAGGCTTTTTCACTTTTAAGTCCAATTGCAGCTAACCACTTGTTCTCTCCATCAATGGCTGATGCTGCCTTTCTTTTTTGGTATAAAAAAGGTCTAAAACACTTCACGGATTTATATTCTGATGATCTCTTTTTTTAAATTTTTTTATTTTATTTTATTTTCTCGTGTCCTGTCTGGCTGTGAACCAAACATAATTGATGTCTGAATGCTGGTGACAAGCCTTACAGATTTACTCTCAGGTGGAGCATCAAAGAGCATTAAAGTGTCTGCTTTTAATGTCACGCCTGATACTTAAAACTTTATTGTTATTGTTTTTGAATGCTTTTTAATTCCGACCAGACACGGAGACAGAGGTGAAAGAGAAAGGAAGAGACAAAAGGTAGGGGGGTGGGGTGTTCCACACAAATAAACAATAATGAACAAGAGTCTGCTTCTAGACCTGCAGAAAGAGAAAAAAAACATAACAAAAAAACTGGGGCACAATAACAATACAACAAGATCAAGCTATCACTTGATGAAGAAATATATAATCAACATTGTTTAACTGAACAATCACACGATAATAAATCACAGTGCATTAAGTGCCCACCATAGTCTTAAGACCTGTGTTGAACGTGCCCAAGCCCATACTTGTGAGAGCACCATGTGAGCACCTGTGTGTGTACACGCGCTTGTTTATGTAAGGTTTCTCTACAGGAGCGTCCAATAGAGAGTGTGAGGGACCACAGATCTGCCCCCTAAAGGTGTGTGGGAGACGGGGGAAGCTCCAAGTCCAAGAGATCCAGGCTCTGCCCCAGAGCACAGGAACTCCAGGGAGACTGCAACCAGAAAGACCCCCGCCCCCCTCGAGAGGCACAGAGGATCGCCCCGGGGGGCCACAACCAGCAGCCGGCAGAGTCCCGGGAGATATCGGCGGCAAGCCCACAGGCCCGCCCGCAGCCTCCCACCCCCGGGAGACATGGGGACCCAATGACCCGGGACCCAGGGGCGACCACCCCCGCCGGGGACCCAGCCGAGCCCAGAGACCCAGACCCCACCAGGCAGCCACAGGGATTGGTCAGGCAGATGCCAAAAATCTTAAACTCCCTGACCCGGGAGCCACGACCCAGGCAGACCAAGGCACCACACCCCACACCAGGTGTGGCAGGGAGAGGGGAGACAATGATCTATATCATCAAAAGAAGGCCCAGGAGAGGGGAGGACCCAAAGGCCCCACCTGACATATACAGTCATACACAAACACAGTCACACGCTCCCTCCCTCATGCTCACACATGCACATACAACCAAATACTTACAAAAATGCACGCTGGACACCCACTCATGCTCCCCATACACACCCTATTCACTCTGGTCCCGGTACTGCTGCACATGGGGTACAACCATTACCGGTTCCCAGAGTCAGACCCTTTCTGCTGGAGTGCTGATGAGCAGGCTCCCCCGCCCAACGCTGAGCACAGCAACCCACCATGATGATCTCTTCTCTAGTTTTAACCAGCTGACGGCAAAATTTGGGATCGCGTCCACTCAATTTTTCAGGTCCTTGCAGGTCAAGCATTACGTGCAGAGTATGACGCCCCAGTTTCCAAATAAAGCCCCAGAGAACCCATTGGATGAGTTTTTATTGGTAAACCCCACAGTGGGAGGAGTGATGTCTAAGCTTTATGACTCTATCACTAAACTATGTTGTCCTTCATTAGTGGCTAATGGAATATGTTGTGGAAATTTTTATGTTTATTAATTCTTTACCATTGATTCAATCAACTGAATGTAATATGTATTGCTCTATGCCTCTTTGCATGCCCACTTATTCAGACACACCCACACAAGCCACACACACCCAAACACATTCTTGACTTCCCACACACACACACACACACACACACACACACACACACACACACACACACACACACACACACACACACACACACACACACACACACACACACACACACACACACACACACACACACACACACACACACACACACACACACACACACACACACACACACACACACACACACACACACACACACACACACACACACACACACACTCTCTCCCTCACTTTGATTCCTTTCTTATCTCTTGGTATAAATAAACTCTGTGACCAGATGTTCGGAGCATTTTGCCTTGTACATTGTGCCACAGTTATAACTGTTTGACTTGTTTGTTCATTGTCTCCTTTTTCTCTTCGACTACAGGAAATGGGTTATTGATAAACATATTGATAAAATCCATGACATGATCTTATGTAATCCTGAGTCACATGAGCCTGATTCTGCTGGCTTCTAACTAATCCAGGGTTTGGTTTCTGGTTATATAACAGAAGTGGGATCCTTAAATCTCCAGACTGTAGCGTATTTCTGTGTGTGCAAAAGAAACCAGCTGGTAAAGATGAGGCCAGCGGGTGGCAGTGTTTAAATACCCATGCTGGTGTTAGGGGATGAAAGTTTGATGAGGATTTGTTCTCTGACTGTTTGCTTTAACCACATAAATAGTCCCCCCCATTCACACACACACACACACACACACACACACACACACACACACACACACACACACACACACACACACACACACACACACACACACACACACACACACACACACACACACACACACACACACACACACACACACACACACACACACACACACACACACACACACACACACACACACACACACACACACACACACACACACACACACACACAGGGTGTACTTCAGGTTGAGCTTTGATTAGTCTTAGAGATAAAATACCTTGTTGCTAGGTAACATCAGGATTTTTCCTTGCCTCAGCATAGGACTACACATCTCTTAATATTAAAAGCACAAACATGAACAGGATCCGTCTCTTTGCTGGTGGATTTGGACCAAACCGGTTTTATTTCCGAGCAGCAGCGTTACACTGCTAACCACCACAGGTCATAAATAAGCTGCTAGGGTTTTTAGCCAACACAAGCCTCCAACAGCATGCTGCATTATGTAATGACTTAACTTCAAAGCACATCTATTTATAGGTCATTGCACATTTTCCCTCGTAAGGATATTTAAAGATCAATAAGACAGCTTTTCTTTGAAGTCTTTGTTTCTCCTCCACACACTTTTGGGTTTTTCAAACTGCTACTGGCGTTTCTTGCTGCTCCTTCTGAGGAGGGCGATGAGCTCTCTGCTTCTATCTGGGGAGCACTAATTAGTGGCATCCTTCCTGGACGCATGCTTCTTTTTTCCAGACACAGATTCCCTTCAGCTTTGGAACTCTGGATCTCAAATATTCCAATTTTTCCTGATATTAAACACTTTTTTAGATAGGTGGTTGTAAGAGTCACAGGTGTGATGTGGTTTCATTCATGTGGTCTTCAGGTGTCTGGGTCCTTACCTCCCAGGTGAGCCGTGCCTCATGGGCTCTGACGTCAGTAACTGTGTGTCGATAAAATGCTGTTTTCATGGTGATGTGTCACACTAACACAAAGGTCCAAAGGCTGAGTAACGCGTCAGACACTGAGGGACTTGTAATGTAACCTGACGTGACCTGGAGGTTGGGATGCTTTTTGCTGATCAGTTATATTTTTGTTTTGTTTACAAGTTGTTTGTTCATCAGAGTGGGAGGTGTTGAGGATTAAAGGAGGATGGGGGATCAAGAGAAGATAAAGAAATCTAATCATGTGATTCACTCAAGAGATCGCAACGACCAAGACCTGAGAAATAACAGAAATGTTTGTCCTCAATCATCAAATCAGCGCAAAACAAACTTTTATCTTTGCATCTAAAAACTCAAACGAAGGCTTGGTTAACACAGTAAAGCTACAAAAACAACCAAATTAAACAACAACCCATTCAAACATGTCCCTCTGTCCTCCCCAATCTACGCGTTCAAATCTCATGTTTATCACTATAGGGTTCAAACTAACATCTTGCTGCCGTAACATTGTCCGATTTCACCTCCGAATCAGTACTAGAGAAAAGAAAAGTGAAAACTAATCAAACTTTCTCACCTAAACCCTGGAGCGTCCATCAAGAATGTGGGCGTCAGAAAGCACATGAAAAGCACATCAGACTCTCTCTCATCACTGACAACAAGCAAAGAGGTAAATGTGTAAAACAACAACGTTTATGAATGGTCAAAGTTAACTATGCACACCTGGTGCGCTCTCACAGTCACGCCCACCTCTTCAGGTGACTGTCATGTCAACAGTGGCAAAACAATCTAAACTAAACATAAAACCAACAACACACAACTAAATCATGCAATAACACAAAACTGTTAAGAAATTCCAACAATTATTAAAAGAATTTAAAGCAACAGAAGACTTCCACTGTGTGACAAGACCAAGAAATCAGGTTTAGTTGTTTCTAAATACCCCAGATGCATGTTGGGTATTCAGATGTTTGTAACACAAGCCTTTGTAACAAACTGCATCACCGGTCTGAATAGCTGTCCAGTTCTCCTTCCATTACAACACCTGACTGTTGCGTCTTCAGTGTGTTTTGCAGGCGAAGCTAGAAGTTTCCATTAATAGCATCATTTTTCCTCATGAGTGCAACATGGCTGCTGCTCAGACACGGCTCAGGAAGGAGACACTGTTTCTAAAAAATTAATGTGCTGCAAACTGAAATGATGTGAAGAAGCAGGAGTGAAGAGTCATGCTGCTGCAGCATGAGAGGAGGCTGGGTTTGGGGGTAGCGGGTGACAGAGATGAGAGAGTGATCACTGCTCTGCTGCATTACTCCACTATGCAACTCTTCTCTGGTCCTCCTCTCCCTCCCTCGCTCCTCTCCGTCATCTCCGCTCACTCTCACTGCCTCACAGCTTTTCCAACAGTCACAGCACATCTCTCCCTCGCCTTGGTTTTACTTTCTCCCCAGTGAGGATGACATCTCTGAATCTGATGAACCAGCGAAGCTCTCGATCTGGCTGGAGGCTTCCGAGGAAGACTCCACATGAGCGGGCTTACTGGACAAGGAGCTGCCGCGTCTAGAGAAGCAGTCCGCTCCAGAAGTCTCCGGGTAAGAGCCGTTTCACTCACTCAGATGTATGCACGGATGACAGGATGAACTGAGAGCACTCTGACGGCACTTCCTGCCTCAGCATGTGGGAGCTGTGACTGATCCACCAGCTGAGGATGTGAAACAGGTAGCACAGGGCTTCTGCAGCAGCTGGATCTCATCCGTCAGGGCTGAGCGCTGCTCTTGGTCACGACACTGAAATGCTGTGTTTTTGTTTGCCCGTCTCCTCCTGGTCTCCTCTCACTGCTGCGTGCACTCAAGCCCACACTCATGCAGATGGCTGTCAGCCCCTCCAGGGATGTTCAAACCATCCATTAATTGTAAGCAATCCACTCCCGGCTCTTGTTTCTCCACAGAAACATCATTAATATTCTCCACAGGCTGGAGAAGTTCGGGGTCAAAGTTCACCTGAACCTGAGTCAAATGCTTTGGTTTATGACTTTAAAGCTCTGCCTGAATTTGGGCTATAGATGAGATGAGAAAGAGCAGAAAGCACAAAGTCAGCGAGGAAAAGCAGAACAGGATTGAGACTGTGTTTGGAGAAAAAGTATCGCTATGGTAACAGCAGGCTAGGGTAGAGGAGAGGTGAAAGAAGCCTGCTGGGTTTTTCTGGCACCTGTGTAGCTGGATCAGAGATTATTGGACTGACGGACTTTTTCAGACCGGATGAGTCGAATAAAGACACAGATCATTGAAACGAGGGATAATAAACATGCTGGTGCTCATCAGGTGTCTGTGTGTTTCCATGAAATGAGTGAAAGATTGTTCCTTGTCTCCTTGTGGACGCTGTCCAGCCTGGGTTTAGATGCTGCTGAGAGTATAAAAAAGTTTCTGCATGGATCCGTTAGTTCTGCTGTGGGTAGCCACGAGAGGATGGTTTTCCCTAAAGTATTCTTCAGAATCCCACACCGATGCTCTCTGTCACCGAGGTTCACCGTGTAATGATGGGATGGATTTGTAGAGCTTCTCCGAGCACTCAGCCTACTTTTATAGATTGTGACAGCCACTCAACTCACTGCAGGTGAGTAATGGTTGGATGTTGAACTGCTGGTTTATGGTCTGTTACGTGGGACAGTCAGCAGGAGGAGTAATCATTGCTTTAGATGATTGCATCTGCAGTTATGTATGGTTTCACCAGATGATTGATGGTATTATTTTTATTTGATTGTCACTGGCTGCTTTGAAAGAGTACATGAGCACATCATTAATCTGTTATTAACAACAAACAGATCCGCAGCAGCCTCTTGTAAATCTGGGCTGTCCAGAGTGCTGTGGGCCACCAGGAGTTTAGCTTCTCTGTGCTGTCTGCAGGTCACATGGTTAAAGGGAAAAAATGATTTTTATAATTGTTGAGCAGCTAAGTCAGAAAATTTTCAACTAAGTAATTTTTTATTTAAAAAATTGGGATTTTTTTTAATTTTACAGAAAAGTACTTTCAACTTTTAAAAATAAAATCAACTCTCAGAAACGATTCGTTGGCTGCACGTCTACATCACAGCCGACTGGGAGTCAACCACAGCTGAGCCACACCAAAAACCATAAGAATGGCCGCATCAGTCAGTGTCACACAGTTGGTTTTGGGCCTGAGATCATTGTTCATAGGAGTAAATCCTGTCTTGTGTTTTGTTTTTTCTTGTTGTAAAATATCTCACCTATATAAAAATCTGGATTTTACTGAAACTTCTGGACAGATTGGATTTATCTTTTAATGTTGATCCAATTAACAATGGCCGCCCGATCTCAGCCATGTTAAATGGACACACAAACCACTTTAACGCAGTCATTTACACGACTACTGTTTACCTGAAGGTTACAGGGAAAGCTGGAGAATATGGTGCATAAATTAATTGCACGTGGACTGACTCCTTACTTTAAAATCCAGATATTTCAGCCATTATTTGTAATAATTGGGATGATTATGGCTTACAGCTGATGGAAACCCCACATTCAAACCTCTCAGTATGAGCTGGATTACTAACATAAACAGATTTTTGCACCTTCAAGTTTTTTCTGTTGTATCTGGAACTGCATACTCTGAGTGCCAACTACTGCTGAGATAGCAAGATTTAACCAGAACTCCGTTGTTTCTCAACACAAAACTCTCCCACGAACTGAGGTGAGCAAAGTGCTCACCTAAAAGGATGCTAGGCCTTTAATTTGCTGTTGTCATGACAACAGGCATCAATGTCTCTCAGCAGGTGTGGACGAGAGGCTCTGAGAGATGAAACCTGTAGGGGAGTAGATGTCTTTAGAGAAGGATCTGTGCCACTACAGAGTGTCAGCAGGTCTGTGAGTCACTGCTGCCCACGGCCCGTACAGTAGCTCCGGCCCCTGATCACCCAGTCTGGATGTTGAGCAACACCATGATAAGGATGCAACCTCCCTCCACTCTCTTCCTTTTCAAGAATTCTGACTCACGGCTCAGCACACATTATCCAGCCTACGGGAACGAGCTCCTTGACTGAGATGGAACCCAGGGTTCTCCTGGCACCATCACTGTTCTGTTGTTGCCGTGGTGAACAACGGCTGAAACATCCATGATTGCATTTCTCATAAGTCGGACCCAGGCTGGTCTGCCTGACTGTTTCCTGCCTTTGAACTTGTCAGTGACACTCTACAGATCCACGACTGCGCCATCTTTCTGTAACGATCTTTTAAATGTGGAGATATTTACTAAATGCTTTCAAGTGAGTTAATAATTGTGGTGATGAGCACCACTGCAAAGTCTGCTAGCTCAGCTCATTATGGGCAGTCAGCTAGCGCTCCAATCGGAGGAACACGTCCAGAGCTGTTTCCCATCTGGTGCATCATCCGAGCTTGGCGCCTCAGAACCATCACCATGTGAGGCTGCTGAGGAACTTCTCAGCATTATTAAGTAAGATTAAACCACACCAAGTCAGTGTTTCAACACATCAAGTGATTGAAGCAGTCTGAGTGGATGTGAAGTTGGGCTGAACATGTTCTGACGTTGTTCCTGTACCGGGCCACCAGCAGATAGAACACCTTGGCACAGCCCCTGATGTCACATTCTTACCTGCTGAGGAGCAGCAGGGGCATGAGAATGTTCAAATACTTCATCACTTATCACAAGCCACCTGCTCCACAGTCATGTCATGCCAGTGAAAGTGGAACTGCAGGCAGCCTTGTGCACACGCTGTGATGTGATAGCGAACATCTGAACTCTCCACTCCCCTCACGCCAAGACTTCTGATCCGATCAGTCACATTTCTTAGCAATTGCTAATAGGCACACAGGTCTTACAGCAGATAAGGATGGTGCATCATCTCAGAGGAGGCTCAGTGTTGTTAACATTTTCCTCCTGCAACAGTGAAGTCATAAAGCTGAGCTGAGCACGTTACTGTAAGGAGGAGTGGGAGGAGAGGCTGAGCTTTTAATAGAAGCGCTCGCTGTCGCTCATTCTTCTGCCTGCTACTTGATCACAAAAGCTGCCAAATATATCCAGTGGTGGTGAAAGGAGTTGTGTGCGAGGCTATTCATAGTCTCTGGTGAGATAAAAAACAATCACACGTGTGACTGTATCTATGGTTTCTCAGTCAATTCATGCCGAACATACAATCACTGACACTGATAAAGTATTTATTTTGCTGTCATGTAAATGTTCCAGATCAGCAGATAAATGTTCATATCAGACAACGTTAACCTGATTTAATACAGAAGGAAGTTTTCAGATGATGATGATTTGATGAGGGAAAATACCAGGCTGCATTTGAAGAAGTCATGACCCGCTTGAATTAATTGTGATTATCCAGAATATTTGCAAGGCTGTGTTTAGTCCCACCCCCACCTCCACCCCCAAACGCAGACCTGATGAAAACTGTGAGCTAAAAGATCTCAAAAAGCAACACCTCCTCAAGGATAAAACAACAGAGAACATCTGAAGGACAGCCTCACCTGGTTACAGTTGAGGTCAGAGGTCATGATCCTACGATGGGGCTGGGCAGGTGTGTCATTGACTCATGTTTACCAAAGATAAACTTTGTGATGATCCCAAAGACCTTCTATGGACTGATGAGGCAGAAGCAGAACTTTCTGGAAGGCCAATCAAAACAAAAATGACATCCCAGCAGCAGTGGTGGTGGTGTGATGGTCTGGGCTGCTCTGTCACGTTGTTGCTTCCCTTGCCCCTGTGCCTTGGGGTTTACCTTAATTGTGCCCTCTTGTTACCTGAGTACCCATCCCAGTGTGTATACAGGCCTTGTGTGCTGCTAGTGCGTTTGTCAGTTCTTACTCGTTACACGTCAGTTTGTGTTTACACCCACCTACCCTGTTGTGTCTGCACTCCCGACCAATAAAGATGAACCAAATGTCCATTACTGTGACCTGCTCTGCTGCTTCAGCACCACCTGCTGTAGCAGAACATCCTGAAGGAGAACGTCTAACCTTTGACCTTCATGCTGGAAGACCAAAACTCCCCCAGGTTGGTTATCAGGTGTGACATCAGAGTGTGAGATGTTTTTGCTGACCTGAAACCTTTAAGAGAAAGAAATCAGAGTAAATCTGTGAGCATCGTCTCTGCTGGTCGTCTTTTGTTTGTCATACCAACACGTTCATGTCTGAAGCTGCGATCTGGACGTCTTGATGCTTGTGTGCTACAGCTTGTGCTTATTTACTTCAATCCAAAAACCATCAAAGTGCAAACTTTTCACATCAAATTTCTAAATGAGGAAAGTGCTTTACTCAAGAGGGCTGAGTCACCCGAGAGGCTCAGTAGGAACTTGGTTTACCTCCTTCTTCAGGCGGTTCTTTTCCTGTCCCACTCTTACAGGCTGGTGACGGCGTCCACCAGCTCCCAGGATTCGATCTGCTGAACAAAACTCATCACACTTAAAACCGAGAACAGCTGAGAGCAGCTGGACAAATGTCACAGGTATGGCTCTGCTGATCGTAAGAGTTTGGTTCCAGAGGGAACGGTGTCTGGGTCTGTCGCCAAATCAGAGACGTGGGCTCTCGTTTCAGGAGCAAACTAAATAAAATGTGAAAACAAAAAGTAGAGCAATACATCATTTAATTTAGCACTCATTCAACACGTCACAATTTCCTTTGTTACGGTTGAAGAGTAGTGTATGTGTAAAATGCTGTTAGGCCCCGCCCACTTTTACATGTATTAAAGGACATTTCTCATGTACAGAACAGACAATGATGACTGAACAACACGGTCTTCAATAGGAGACAGAAATTTCACTAAATCAACTCTCATTTTAAATAAAATAAACAAAGCTACTCAAGGTAACACAACAATATCTTGTGTTTTACCTAAATAAACACATTTAATTCAAATGAATAGTATGACATTTATTTTAAATCTCAGATCATTCAGTTTTTTCATAAAATGCAACAGAAATCACCTCAGAGAGCAAGCTGAAAATGAGTCCAGTTTGTATCAGAAATGCCTCCAACCAGTCAGAGGCCAGCAGCAACCCCACCCGAAGGAAACCCACTGATCTGAAGCAGCCAGCTTCATCAGAGTATTCAGACCTGATTTCAACAATGTTGCAGAGGACTTTTATTTTGAAAGGCGAGCTGGAATGAGCTGCAGGTGTTTCCATCCCAGTAAAAACCCTTTAATGGGACCCTGTGTGAGCTCTATCTGACATCTGGCTTAAAACACACACCTGTGTGTTTAGGGGAAGCTGCAGGTTTAGCATGCTGACTAAAGCTCATCTCCTCGGCGCTGTACTTTCTGACTGTTTTAACACAACCGTCTTAAGTTCTGAGATTTTTTTGTCTCTGACTTAAAATTGTCTTGTCGACTGTTTCTTCACATCTCTCTACACATTATAGCTCAGTTGTCAAAAAACTTACCAGTAAAATAGTCTAAGAAGAGAAGTTATTCAGATTTGAACCTTTATATATATATATATATATATATATATATATATATATATATATATATATATATATATATATATATATATATAAACTAAACATAGCTCTTGGATCTGTTTAAGACAGAACTGCTCCTGAATTTCAGTGAAACCTTTGATCCGTGTAGTTTCTTTAACTGCAGGTTGAGCAGGAGATCTCCCTGGCCCAGAGGAAGATGTCTGACCTCGAGTCTGTGCTCCAGCAGAAGGATATCGAGCTGAAGGCCTCAGAGACTCAGAGGACCGTCCTAGAGCAGGACCTGGCCACCTACATCACAGAATGCAGTGTGAGCTTTCAGGCGTTTTCGTGGCTCTGAGGTTCTTTCCTTCTGTTTTTACAATCCCGCGTGTTGCTTTCAGAGTCTGAAGCGCAGTTTGGAACAAGCCCGTATGGAAGTGACTCAGGAGGACGACAAAGCTCTGCAGCTCCTCCATGACATCCGAGAGCAAAGCAATAAACTTCAGGAGATTAAAGAACAGGTAGGAGATGCTTCCTGTGCCACTTCAGACAGCTGGAGCTTTCTAATCCAGATGTTGAAGACTTTAAAGGGATACTTAGCAACTTTTGTCACATTTTTAAATCGTTTTCTTGAACCATATGTGCTAAAATGACCCTTCACAAGGTTGATAAAAAGTCATTCTGACTCCCACCGCCCTCTGTGGCTAGAATACTGCATTTGCAAATTCAGACTGGCGGGCTGCTCTGTTGGGACTTTGAGCTGACATACAGTACCTGGAGCTGCAGTCTGCTTCCAGCATGTTTCCTGCATGTTTTAGATCATAGACACAGCTAATTTGTTTAATTTAGTGATGAATCACTCCTGTGGACACTAATGAAGGCTGGGAGACGTTTTAGCTATTAGACTAGGTGTTAAAACAGAGGAGATACGTTTTGTTTTTGGTTCTACTAAACGAACACTAGGGGGTGCTAAAAGCAAGCCAAAACTGTTAAGTGTGCCTTTAAATGATCAATGCTCATCCATGAACAACAGCTATCTCAGATTTAAGTTCCTGAAGGTATGTTTCTGTTTTTCTTTAGACTCCTTCTTAGCATAAAGCTGCAGTCATTCACCTGCTAGGATGAAATCAAAAGTTGTGTGAATGTTTAAAGACTCAACAGGAGTCTCCAGTCATGGCCATCCAATGGAATGGGTCAAGTCACCGAGCCTGAGTGTGTGGGGTGAGTGTTAATTAGACACAACCTCCACCACTCCACATGACTGCAGGCCTGACCCGAAGCCTAACTCAGACATGTGCAGAAAGGCCTCGTGTTGCTTTCATCACCACAGCTTTTCATAAAACATCATTTGAGTTGATTAAAGGTTTACTTGGAAATAAAAGCTAAACGTTCTGTATTTCTCTGTAAACTTTGACTCGGCCCTGTGGGAATGTTGTTGAAACCTCTGATTGTTTTGGTGCACACGGGCACATTTAATCACCACATCTAATGGGTGGAGTGTGTTTTAGCGCTCAAGTGTCATGTTGTGCAACCTCATCCAGCTCAAGATCGCTGTTTAATAAAGAGTCCAAAAAAAAGGTAACACAAAAGCAACCTGTTTTGCTCAGCCTACACTGCTGCTCGCTACTAAGCCCTGAATACATTGTGCTGAGGTTGTCATGGTTACGGGAGCCCTATACCTAGAGAGGGGAGCACACTGATGCAGTGGGCAGGCTGTTTTGATGAGGTGCTGGAGCCTTTGCTCATGCTGGTGGAGAAACAGATTTTTTTTTACTTTCATCATCTCTGCAGAAACATTGGGAACGTGGGTGGAGGACGTCCTCCTGACCATCTCCAGCTGAACCCAATGCCGCATGCATGTGTCTGTATGAAAAACAAAACAACTTTGTGGATTTAAAGTCACCTTTAGTTCATTTGACAGTCTTGTTGTAGTTTAAGAAGAACAGGTGAACTTCAACAGAGTGTTTTAATCCTCACCTGTTTTAATCCTTCCACCAGATATTACCCCCTCATCTGTTCTATCCCTTCACCTGTTGTTACCCCCTCACCTGGAGGGCATTTGGTCACATATCCAGTTTTAGCTTTAGTCTCTGCCTTTGCTGAGGTGTCGCTGGGATCTCTGAAATGATGATTTCCAGATCCGGTGAGACGTCAGTTCTTGGATTGAGGAATTGTTTACTGGAATGTTGAGGTTAAACAGGTTATCTCAGCAGCAGGTCGTCCGAGAAGCCTCACATCTCAGACTTTTAAAGTGTTACAATAGGTCTCCGGTTACACTAAACAGCCAGAACATTATGGCTGACCCTTCTCACAAAGAGATGGAAGGATTATTTCAGCATAGTGAGTGAGGTGGTACTCAAGATATAAAACAGATATGATGATTGTGTCCTCCAAGCTGATGTAGAAGAGTTTCACTATGGCAAATGTTTGTGTGTGTGTGTGCGCGCCTGCGTGCGTGTGTGTGTGTGTGTGTGTGCGTGTGTGTGTGTGTGTGTGTGCGCGCGCGTGTGTGTGCGTGCGCGTGTGTGTGCGTGTGTGTGTGCGCGCGTGTGTGTGCGTGCATATGTGTGTGCGTGTGTGTGTGTGCGCGCACATGTGTGTGTGTGTGTGTATGTGCGAGCGAGCGCGTGTGTGTGTTTTTGTGTGTGTGTGTGTGCGCGTGTGTGTGCGTGTGTGTGTGTGTGTGGCTGCTCTGTCTTCTCGGTCCCCAGTGAGTCGTGGAAGATGGCTGCTTATACTGAGTCGGGATCCTCTGGAGGTTTCTTCCTGTTAAAAAGGAGTTTTCCTCTCCACTGTTGTTAAATGCTTGCTTAGTATGAGGAATGCTGAAAAGACTCTGACATAACAAGTCAATGACTTGATGCAATTTGCGGAACACAATTGGAATGTTTACATTGTGAAGGGCCTTGAGACGATTCTTGTCGTGATTTGATGCTACACTCACCTAAAGGATTATAAGGAACACCATACTAATGAGGTGTTTGACCCCCTTTCGCCTTCAGAACTGCCTTAATTCTACGTGGCACTGATTTAACAAGGTACTGACAGCATTCTTTAGAAATTTTGGCCTATATTGATAGGATAGCATTTGCAGTTGATGGAGATTTGTGGGATGCACATCCAGGGCATGAAGCTCCGGATCCACCACATCCCAAAGATGCTCTATCGGGTTGAGATGAGGATGGGTACATGGCGGTCATGAAGGGATGTACATGGTCAGAAACAATGCTCAGGTAGCTCATAGCATTTAAACCATGCCCAATTGGCACTAAGGGGCCTAAAGTGTACCAAGAAAACATCCCCCACACCATGACACCACCACCACCAGTCTGCACAGTGGTGACAAGGCATGATGGATCCATGTTCTCATTCTGTTTACGCCAAATTCTGACTCCACCATTGAATGTCTCAACAGAAATCGAGACTCATCAGACCATGCAACAATTTTCCAGTCTTCAACTGTCCAACTTTGATGAGCTTGTGCAAACTGTAGCCTCTTTTTCCTATCTGTAGTGGAGATGAGTGGTACCCGGTGGGGTCTTCTGCTGCTGTAGCCCATCCGCCTCAAGGTTGTGCGTGTTGTGGCTTCACAAATGCTTTGCTGCATTCCTCGGTTGTTACAAGTGGTTATTCCAGCCAAAGTTGCTCTTCTATCAGTTTGAATCAGTCGGCCCATTCTCCTCTGTCCTCTAGCATCAAAAAGGCGTTTTCGCCCACAGGACTGCTGCATACTGGATGATTTTCCCTTTTCACACCATTTTTTGTAAACCCGAGAAATGGTTGTGGGTGAAAATCCCAGTAACTGAGCAGATTGTGAAATACTCAGACCGGCCCGTCTGGCACCAACAACCACGCCACGCTCATAGTAGCTTAAATCACCTTTCTTTCCCATTCTGACATTCAGTTTGGAGTTCAGGAGCAGTGGCGACTCCAGAAATGTTTTTTCTGCAGGTGCTATGAAGGAGCTAGTCTTTTCATTGAGGGTGCTATGAAGGAAGTGGTCATGCGTACCCATTGTTCTCTAAAACACCTTCAACACTAGCAGATACACATGCGTGCACAAAACCTCAACAACACCTGAAACAATCATTAATATACATCATAAACATATGAACAATCGCTGACTTGTCCATGCAATCATAAACACATACAGCCACACAGAAAACCATCTATAGTGTTGCAAGGTTAGCTAACATTACTGTTAGCATTTCCAGCACGCGGCGGTTGAGGGTTGACTTTTCATCCAGATCCGTAGGTTTTTGTGGGTCTGAGATCACTTCCAAAGATTCATTCATTTCTGACTGAACCCGTGGAAATGTGGGCAACAAAAACTGATTCATTTTACCACTAGCTCTACCTTTCACTCGTTCACAGGTGGAAAATGAGGTCAAAGGTTAACATCAATTTCCTGTTTTGGTTTAAGTTTTTACTATCTATATGATAATTTACTGATTATTTTTGTTTTGTATGTTAAATATTATCACATCCACACTTTAAATTAAAATTATTATTTATTTATTTTGTGTGTGTGTGTGTCCTGTCAGGCTGTGAATCAAACAGAATTGATGTCTGAATGCTGGTAACAAGCCTTACAGATTTACTCTCAGGTGTAGCATAAAAGCGTTTGCTTTTAACGTCACACCTGACACTTAAAACTTTATTGTTATTGTTTTTGAATGCTTTTTAATTCCGACCAGATACGGAGAAAGAGGTGAAAGAGAAAGGAAGAGACAAAAGATTGGGGGGGGGGGGGGGGGGGGGGGGGGGTTCCACAAAAATAAACAATAATGGACAAGAATCTGCTTCCAGACCTGCAGAAAGAGAGAAGAAAAAAAGACAAAAGAATGGGACACAACAACAATACAACAAGATCAAGCTATCACTGCGTCAACTAGATGAAGAAATATACAATCAACATTGTTTAAATGAACAATCACACAATAATAAATCACACTGCATTAAGTGCCCACCATAGCCTTAAGACCTGTGTTGAACGTGCCCAAGCCCATACTTATGAGAGCACCATGTGAGCACCTGTGTGTGTACACACGCTTGTTTATGTAAGGTTTCTCTATAGGAGCATCCAATAAAGAGTGTGAGGGACCACAGATCTGCCCCCTAAAGATGTGCAGGAGACGGAGGGAGCTCCAAGTCCCAGAGATCCAGGAGTTGCCCCAGAGCACAGGAACTCCAGGGAGACTGCGACCAGAAAAGCCCCCGCTCCCCTCGAGAGGCGCAGAGGATCGCCCCGGGGGGCCACAACCAGCAGCCGGCAGAGTCCCGGGAGATATCGGCGGCAAGCCCACAGGCCTGCCGGCAGCCTCCCACCCCGTTGCCGGCCGAGCCCGGGACCCAATGACCCGGGACCCAGGGGCGACCACCCCCGCTGAGGACCCAGCAGAGCCCAGGGACCGGGAACCCACCAGGCAGCCACCGGGATTGGTCAGGCAGATGCCAAAAATCTTAAACTCCCTGACCCGGGAGCCACGACCCAGGCAGACCAAGGCACCGCACTCCACAC